GGTTGCACCAACATACTTGTTGTGGTAGACCGTTTGTCTAAGTATGGGGTCTTCATTCCCGCCCCAAAAGAGTGCACCGCGGAGATAACGGCCAAACTCTTTCTTAGGCATGTGGTGAAGTATTGGGGGCTGCCTACATCGATCATAAGCGACAGGGACTCAAGGTTCACCGGCCGTTTTTGGCAAGAACTCTTTCGTTTGCTTGGGACGGAGCTCAAGATGTCTACATCTTTGCACCCGCAAACGGATGGGCAGACGGAGCGCATCAATAGCCTCTTGGAGGTGTACCTTAGGCACTATGTGGTAGCCAACCAGAAAGATTGGGTACGTTTGCTAGACGTTGCCCAATTTTCCTATAACTTGATGCGGAGTGAGAGCACGGGCAAAAGTCCGTTTGAGATTGTCCTTGGTTTCCAACCGACTACGCTTAAGGACATTCTTGGGGGCTACAAGGGCAATAGCCCACCCGCATACAAGTTTGCCAAAGATTGGCAAGAACGGGCCGACGAGGCAAAACTCTACTTGGAGAAGTTGGCCGCGCGCATGAAGAAATGGGCGGATAAGAAACGGACCCGTCGCGAGTTTGAAGAAGGCGACCAAGTCTTGGTGAAGCTTTATGAGCATGGACGGAGCCGTGGTCTACACAAGGGTCTCATGCGCAGATACGAGGGTCCTTTCACCGTTCTTAAGAAAGTGGGTTCGGTTGCTTACAAGCTGAACTACCCGAGGCCTTTTCAAGGCTTCATCCAGTCTTTCATGTGAGCCTACTTAAGCCATACCGCAAGGACCCAGAGGACAAAAAACGGAACATTTCCTCAAGGGCACCAGCTGGCGTACGCGAGCACGAGGAACGGACCGCAGAGGACATCCTTTCTAAGAGGATCGTTCGAGGCAAGAGCGGGGCAGCGACTAAAGAATACTTGGTGAAACGGAAGAATTTGCCAATGAGTGAGACGAGATGGGAGCCAATCGAGAAGCTTTGGCAATTCACCAAATTGATCGAGGACTTTGAGGAGAATCGTGCACCCGTTCCTATCAACATTGCCTTCGAGACTTAGGTGCATCGGGGCGATGCACCGTTTTGGTGGGGGAGGATGTCACGGACAGTTTTTCTTCCCCACAAATTCGGGTGGTTTGCTGCGAAACAGGCTATTTTCGTAGACGGACATGGGGCGGAACGGTCTAGAGCCTTGTAGAATTCTTCGATCAAATCTTGAAGACTCTGGAATTCTCTAGAGAGGCCCGGAACTCTCTAGAAACGGGTAGAACCGTGTGGAAGATTCTAGAGACTTGTAGATATTTTGGACTTAGAATATTTTATGTTAGGAATTCTCTAGAATTCTATTATTTTATTATGTACATAGAATTCTCTAGAATTCTTTGGGACTTGGGGTTTGCCTATAAATACCCCATGTCCCCTTCATTTGTAATCCATCCAAGCTTTGAGTAGAGTTCTCAAGCATTCCTTAAGCTCTCTTGTGCCTTCATCGTTCTTTCACTTTCAACCTTTCTTAAGTTTTTCTTTGCCTCCGTTCTTTAAAGCCTTGTCGAGCTTTGCACGCTTTGGGGGTCTTAAGGCTGAGCTAGCACTTGATCGTTAGTTGTTTTGTGCTAGTGCCGTACGGCCGTTACTTTGAAAAAGTAAGCCCGTGACACTTGCTTGTCACGGGTTAACCCAAGATGGGTAATGAACCCGTTCGAGCGAACAAGTGGGCGGGTTCATTGCGCGTTCGGGATTGACTCGGGAAGGGTAGACCGCTCGGTCGGCCGGTTTTTTTTTTTTAATTTTCAATTTTTTTTTTAATTTTCTCTCTCGTCAAGATATTTAATTTGAAAAAATGACTGGAATAAAATGGTTCAAATTTAAAATTTGTGGCTAAAAGAGTCAAAGTCGGTGGCTGTAAAAACTAACACCTTTTATTTATAGTCAATGGGTGAGAGTCATGCCGAATTTTGTACATTTCTTGCTTGGTTTCAAATTATAGAATGTGTTGGAAATTGGGATCACAAAATTTGTATTGAATCGAATATTCTCATTGTCCTACATTTTGGTGGATTGGTAGGTAGGGTTGGTTTGTCAATTCATTTTTTTTCTTTTTACTTTTTAGTTTGAGTCCTTTCCAACAGGCAAATAATATTAAGATTCTAGGTACACTTTGCAAGGTGTACTCAGGCAGTGCGTGTATCACAAACTTAAGAGAAAAAAGTGATCATTTTAGTCCGGATTTTTAATTCTCACACGCGCATTTAATCATCGAAATTTATCTCTATTTTTTTGGCATTTAATCCCCATAATTTTATCCTCTTTTTTTTAGGCATTTAACTCCTTGATCTTATCCCCTTTTTTTTTACGCACGTTTAATTTTAAACCTTTTTTTTTTTTGCTTATCATGTTAGCTTTTATATTATTTTATTTTATAAGATAATTTTTTTATAACGATGGACTTTATTTTAGTAAAATTGACTATGGTTAATCATCGAGACTTATGAATATGGAGAATCAATGTATATTTTCCCAGTAATAAATAACCAACGTTTAGATAATGAATAATATTATGCAATTATTGAAAGATGATTGATGTAGAATGTATTCGCTTTATTGATGAATATACATGCATAAGGTAATGCGTATATATGGTTAATGATGAACAGGAATTTCATTATTGTTTTCTGATCGATGGTGTATTATCTTATTACGTTTTTATGATGAATATCTTACGTTAATTAATGAATAACGAGTCTTATTGATGAATAATTGGACGATGTTTCAACTCTGAGGAAGAGGCTTTTGCTGCTTATAATTCTAAAGCATTGTTTTTTCAATAAAAAGGTTGAAAGATTGGAAAATGTCCAAATCTGGTGTTGTATATTGGAAACAATTTGCATGTAGCAAACAAGGATTAAAAACTTCATGAGGTAGATGATATACAACAATGAATAATTATACCAAATTGATGAATACGGCAATTTCAACAATGAATAATTATACTAAACTGATGAATAATACAAAGATCTACTAATTTACCAAAAAAAATAATACTAGTTTACAAAACTGCTGAATAACCCTCTATATCAATGTCTACACTTATTGTGGTTTGGTCTTTTTGCAGATTCAGATATCCTGTTTTTTTCGGCTTCTGATTGTTGTTCTTCGCTCATGTTTCTTTCAGATTTTGTCTGATATTCTTCGCTCATGCTACAATACGTTTACAAATTCCATGAATAACTTGTCAGATGTGATGAATTTTTTAGTGTGTTTCTAATATCAACGTATCAGATGTATCACAAACTTAATGAATGACTGTTCAATGAATTAATGAATAAATGTATATAGAGGATGAATAATCTGAGATTATGAAATCAGAAAATTAATAATAATTGCTGACTCAATGAATAACATCCCTTTACAGATGATTATCCCAAAACAAATTTTACAACACATTATGATGAATACCAATTACCAAATTGATGAACAATTTTAACGAAAAAATAACACATAGTTGTGATAAACGATGAATCCGGCAATTTCAACAATGAATAATTATACCAAATTGATGAATAATACAAACATCTAACAATTTACCAAAAAACAGTACTACATAGTTATAGTAAACGATGAATCCGACAATTGCAACAATGAATAATTATACCAAACTGATGAATAATACAAAGATCTAGTAATTTATCAAAAAAACAATACTACATAGTTATGGTAAACGATGAATCTGACAATTTCAATAATGAATAATTATACCAAACTGATGAATAATACAAATATCTACTAATTTACCAAAAAAATAATACTACATAGTTATGGTAAACGATGAATCTGACAATTTCAACAATGAATAACTATACCAACCTGATGAATAATACAAAAATCTACCAATTTCCCAGAAAAACAACATCCAATAGAAGAACAAAACTCTAAAATTGATGAACAAACATCGACAATCGAGTGAATATACCTTACATCTACAGAACCCAAACAAAAAAATAAAACACCAATGGTTGAATATGAATAAAACTTTAAACTTGATGAACAGATATGCATAATCGAATGCATATACAGTAAATCTACAAAACCCATCAAAAAATGCATCAATAGTCCAAAAGATTAATAGTATTACCTTCGTTCATCTTCACTTTCCGAACTGCTTCTGTTCGGTTCAGGATCCTCAATCGGTGGTTTCTGCGTGGATGAATTTTGTTCATGTATTATCTTAAATCGCATCTTGAACAGAGTATATTTCCACAATTTCCACTAAATTTTATGCACAATCTGATTTCGTCCCAAAAAATCCAGCCGACGAGAAGTTTTCTGACCAAATCACTGTAGAGAAAATTTAGTTTTTTAGTTTTTTTTTTTTTTGTTTGAGATGGATTGTGATGAATGGGATGGAAAATGGATATGGTTAATGGCTGAAAATTAAGAGAAAATGATGGGATTTGAAATTCTAAAAATCGCACAAAATGGGGAATCAAATGGGATTATTGTAAATATTGAAAGATGTCTATTTTTGGGTCGCGTGAGACTCATACTAGGTATACCTTGCTAGGTGTACCCAGGATCCCTATATTATAATTGTTTCCAACACCATCATAATCATTAACCAAGCAATTAAAAGTATTATAATCTTATTCATCTATATTATGAATCCAATTATTAACCAAGCAATTAAAATCCCTTACGCATTCATTACTTTCCTTTCGATTCTAAATGTATGAATCTTTTATGAATAGTTTTTACCATCTTTCCTAAGTCTAACTATTCCCCTTTGGCCTTCAAGGTAGATGAAGTAAAACTAATGTAAACTATAAACAAGATGGAAGATATGAGCTCACTAGATGTGAGAGGACTCCAGGAATTCCAAAGATGCACAAGTAATATAATTACAAAATATCAGCCAACTATAAACGCCAAGCTAAGGGGAATCAATCAGTTGGCTGAGGATAGAGAGATGTATCTGACAAAAGTTACCCACCCACCTGAGTTCAAACTATTTCATATTCAACCTCTCGAAATCACCAAATAAATCATCTTCCACATAAATGGCTTTTTCATTCTTGGATCTGTTTTCCATCCGATTCCTGAGCTCTACACTCAATGCAGCAATCCGTTTCTGTATTTTCTCCCCTTTATCCGGTAGCTTTGATATTGTAGCCTGCGTGTAGTGGGGAAAAAAAAGAGGACATTAACCAGAGAACTATTACGGCCAAACATCAAGTAAAATGATGCTATTAAAAAACGTATTCAGGTTACAAGCTAAGTTTTGAGTATATAGATTCGGCAGTTATAATAATGTGTCAATGAGTGTACCTTGTTTGCTAGTATCTGAGAGAGCCGGTTGATGTTCTCTCTGATTTCATTCTCAGTAAGTTCTTTTGGACTAGGGGAAGAGTTCTTTTGTTGCAACTTCACATCTTTTGGATTGAATGCATATTGTTCACTTCCAAACAGAATATCCTTGTATGAGTTTCTATGTTCCACAACTGAGTGTAACAAAAATAGAACATGAATTAAAAAAAAAATTTTAAAAAAAGAAAGAAATTCTTACCCATGATTAACTTGATCAGATGAGAAGTGCGTTGTTGCTCTTGTGTTGAGCATGTTACCCCTTAACCTGTGAAAACATCAATGATCAGTTATAAATTTATCGAAAAGAAGTATCATGAAACTCAGGAAGCAATTCCTTTTGTTTGCTTAGTGAACTGTGCTTTGGATCCTTAAAAAAAAAACCATTTCAGTAGACTCAGCTTGCTTGTGGACGTTTTTAGGAGTTCAAAAAATTCTATAAACTTCCTAAACACAAACTCAAAACTTTCTACTTCCAAAACCCATGTTGAATATCAGCTATACTCGAGACCTTTCTACATCTCCTGATCAAAACCTTACATTAATCTGTAGCACACCAGACCAGTTTCAATATTTAGCTAATGTGCAAATATCCCATTCCATTTGGGACATTTCCATGACAAATCAATTCTATTAACCTTGATTTCTCTCTAGCCCGAGTTTAATCTTTTCTAAACATCAGAGAAGCATTGTTTTCTTCCACAAGTTGATCATTATTTACCGAAATAATAATAATAAAAGTGCAAGACTGCAATCTGCTTCATGCATCATGGATGATGAGCTATCTAAAATTTTCAGAAATATTTATCTTTCTAATGAAAAACTAGGGAACTGGATTTGAAGATGATGTGGATGGGGTGCATTTTGACTGGTGGGTTAATCTTCTACTACTTTATTTCAGGATGTCCATTGGTGTTGGGTCAAATTTCTTCTTCCCAAATGGTAGTCACCAAATATTCGCAAATAACAAACTTAGCACAGGAACTTGAGCACTGGAGTAGCAAACAAGCAGGGAACAGGGAAAGTTATCAAAGAAGTGAATACTGATAATAACACAAGGAGAAAGCACGGTGTAGTGGAAGTTCCTCTAAAAGGGGAAAGTGATCAAACCAAATGAAGGGAAAAAAAATGTAACTGCACTTCAAAATGAAACGAGAAGAGAAGTGAACATGCAACCAAGGCCATATCATGGGATGTGCCAAATTCAAATCTCAGAACCACACAAACCCAATATTTACTGGAGAAAAGAATATTATCAGCTTGAATAGCTTAACTGATTTCTTCTTGATCTTCTCTTCCTTTAAATAGAACAGTGATGAAATGAATAATCATGTTGCAAACTGATTTTTTATGTTCATTCAAATCAAAATAAAATTTCCCAGCATTTCTTTAGGTTGGATGGGAAAGAAACAAGAGCAGTTGCTCCAAAAAATACCAATAAATAACCCATTGATTTTATTAGGGAAATGGTTAAACTCGTCCATGCTAGAAAGTACATTGCTGTACCTTGACATCTCCTCCTCATCAACGACAACTGGTTCGGGGGCTACCTTTGAGAAGAGCAAGCTGTGCTGACTAACTCCAGCTATATCCAAGCTTTCAAGGAACTCAACATCAGCTTTTATTGAGTCATCCCTAAAAAGGTGCAGGCAAGAAAATCACATATTAATTGAGAAATAAAATAAAATGTGCTAGAGATTAAATGGTGAGAAATGACAAATTCATGGCTGAATAGACTAGTATATGTTACGAGTAAATGATACATACTGCCAAAAACTTAAGAGAGCTTGCTTCATCCTAGAGTGATGCAAAAAGAATACAATACTGTATGATATTTAATAACTATAAGAACTCCCAAGTTCAGTAATAGGGTAGAACAAAATACGTACATCATTTGTTCTTGACAGTGTTCCTCGACTAACTGCTGTTGAGTGAGGGAGATCTCAAAACCTTGCTTCGGTAGGCTAAACAGCTCTTGAAGATCCTAAAAGTAGAACACTTATGGTTTCAAAACCTAAAACTTGGAAGAAAAAAGTTTGTAGTAAAAAAAATCTCGTACTTGTTTACTGAAGTAGCGCATTTGTTCTTTGTGCTCTGTGGCAGACTTGAAAAGCCCTCCTTTAAATATCTGCAACACACAACCAAGTTAAACCCAGAAGAAACAAAAAAGAAATGAAGGGAAACATATGTAATTGGCTTGAAAGCTATTTTGCTTGGCAAATGTAATTTACATCTGTAGTTAATAGCCTCAAGCCCTTTAAACCCTCAGATATAGTAAAGGAAAGATATTCCAAATCATATGCTAAAGGAGTGCAAATGATAAAACCCGATCAACCTGCATTCTGTAAATCTTCTCCTCAACAGTGCCACACGTCATGAGTCGGTACACAATGACATCCTTTGTTTGTCCAATCCGATATGCACGATCAACACTTTGATTATCAGTGCTGCCAAAGTTGAAAATAGGAGAGAGTACATAAGTTAGATTCACTTTCAAAAAGCGAAATATCAAGTGCATAGAAGGGAACCGATTTTTGCAGGTTAAGTTTTATCAATTTCGATAATCATTTCAATGTAAGAAACGGGAGAGAAGCTGATATAAGAGGAAGAACCATTGACCAACCAATATCACAATTTTGTCCAAAGAGATCCTAGTCAACTCTTCACGCCATAGTTGAAGAAAAACTGCAATTAGGATTGGTGACAAGATGCAGAGGTAGAGATTTGATACTATGACAAGCAGTTTGTCTCTCGTTAGACTAACCTATGAACTCCCAGATTCAGGTCATCAGTTTTACACTACTTAAGGACATGGAACAGCAAACAACTTTCTACTCTTTTTAGTCACGTTGGTCAGCTCTCCACATCCTAACTTAGGGAGGTAAATTACTATAGACCAATGAGCAATTGAACTCGTGCAAAAACCATAAGAACTGAAACAAAGGTCGCGATTGAAAATATAAGATAATAGTCATGGTTCCAAGAACATATTTGAAACATTTCGCGTAACAGACTAGGTACTGTAAAACCTTATTAACCATATGATAAATATTGATTCAGGTTCGAATTTCTCCTAAGATACCAGGTCTCAACAGTGCAACTCTGCATTAATTTCTTTGATCATGCATTTCAGGACAGCACAGATAAACTCTCAAAAATAGAGGAAAAGGCGTACATCACTTCAGTGGCACGGCCAAAAAAGAGGGAGGGGGAAGAAAAAAAGATCAGCATATTTAAATATACATGATTCAGTAAAATGGTGTTCTCTTGTAGTTTTTATCTTAAAAGAAAACAACTTGGCGGCATGAAAATTTTCCTCAAAGAAGTTTATCTAGGCACTTGGATTGAGAACCAAGTGAACTATTTCTGATTTCTCAATTTCTTGTTAAACAGAGTTATTCATTTAGCTCACTATGAAGCATAAACCGTTTTCAGAACAAACCTTTTTGGCATAATTCAGCAAAAGTACTGTTATCACAAAGTAACTAGCAGAGAGAATACTATCTCCTGGGCTGACTAACTAAAGGAGAGAAAGTTATAGAAATCTCTTGTTGTATTAGTTGATTCCGAAAACAACAAAAGATTTTGATTACTCAACTAAGAAAGTAAGAGAATTATTAATGAGATACCTCGGATTCCATGCTGGATCAACTACAATTACACGATCTGCTTTTGTCAGGGTGAGACCTAGTCCACCTACTTGAGAAGTTAAGAGAAAAATAGGCGCCCCACGACCCTCTTGAAAATCCTTTAAGAGTTTAAGCACAAATCAGTTAATTTTAATTTGTTTCTTGAAATTGTAAACATCCAAATAAATAAGAAAAGTAATAAGGAGCACTGACATTGACTATCTGCAATCGATCACAAGCTTTAGTCGTTCCATCAATTCGCATGAACTCATAGCCATTAGAAATCAAAGATTCCTGACAATGGAAAAAAGGCAGAAATAAATTTCTCTTTTGAAAAAACCAGCGTAAACTGCCCACATGAACAATAAAGAGAACCTCAAAAGAGTCTAAAACATGGATCATAAGCTGAATCATAAATGTAAATACACAATGCACCACTTCAAGTATGTATTGTATATAGAGCTACAAAGATCAACCGACCATCCTCTAAATTTACACGATCATGCTGGCTTGAGAATTGAATTGAGTTCCAAGGTTAATTTGTTGAAACTAAGTTTCGAAATGCTAGGGAGTGAAACTTCAAAATTTGCTTCTGATGAAATTATAGAGTCTGGATTCCAAAGAGTTGAGGCAATTTTAAAATTACGGTTGTAACAGAGAAAAACCTTAGACAACAAAAGAAGTCCATACAAACTAAAAAGGTCTGATTTCAAACATTCATAGTACTTCAGAAAACGGCCATCATATGTCATCAGTAGAAGAGAAATTAAAATTGTTTAAACCAACATCATTTACAATTAACATCTGCGTCTTCTTCAATCAATGTCACAAGCTGAAAAAATCCTAAATGAATATTAGACTTTCTTTTAGTAATGTTTTGGGCCTTGTGGCTGGCTGAACACAACACCCTCAATTGCCCCCACCAAAAAAATATATAAAATGACACTGACCTGAATTATATTTAACATCTTCCGAGTCTGTGAAAATATAAGCACGTGGTGTTTCTTTGGAATTAGTTCACCCTACACGAAAAAAATATGAAGTGTTAAGTATAAGCTATTACTGGAGAGATGATATGACCTTCAAAAGTGTAGTAATTGAAAAACGTCTTGTGAAGATCATTTTAAGAAAATCAATGTCTTCATTACGCAAAGAGACCTAACCAATATAGATAGAATGAAGGACGTCTTGCATGAAATATCATATGCGTCAGCAACATCAAACATTTCAGTAAAATCTGCTATATGCATCGCCAATCTCTCAGCTACACCGTGATCTTGCGGGTTTAGCATCGAATCCATGCCTTCCAGGACATCTTCAGCAGCTCTTTTAGTTAAAAGAAGTGGATGGTCACATATTTTTTTCAAGATCTGCAGGAAAATGGAATATAATAGTGTTATAATCAAACAACACAAAACAGATGCATGTTCAAGACAAAATTGAATTGAAAGTAATTTGTGAGAATGCAGTAAAACTAGTAAAGTCTGCATAACAATATTGAATGTGAAATCCAAGGATTTTGTTTGTAGAGGTTCATACACATATCACCAAACGCCCAATGGATAAAAAAGGAGAAAAAAAATTATATATTCTGACAACTGGCAATATGTAATTAAATCGAGCATGCTGAGACCCTCCAATTACTTACTGGCAAAGGAATTTCAGGACAGCGGAAAAATCAGTTGATTAAAATAACATGAAGATGAGGACCACATGCATCAAGCTTGTTTCCAAAAAGAAAGACACACAAGTAACAGGCAGAAAAATACTCATAAATGGCCAAAAAAAAAACCCAAAGTCAATAATATCTGGAAGCATGTAGCATTAAGTGTAACAGCATTGAAGTGAGATTACCGTAAGTGCAGCTAATGGAGAACCATCAAAGGCAGAAAGAACTATTTCACTCTTCAAGAATGCCTCATAGATTTGTTGCTGCATTGAAAGAGTAAAAAGAATTTAACAAAAATAAGCAGCAAATTAGAATCCATGGTACTCAGAATAAGACTTAAATCTCAAAAAGTAATGGAAATGCGCTTAGGGAAGAGAAGAACCTGGCAGCGAGTCAATTTGAGCCACACAATCAACTCATTCTTTTTGGAAAGCTGTGCCTTGCTATTACCATTGTCTTCCCGAAATACATCAGACTTCAAGCGCCGTAGAAAGTAAGGCTGGATTTTTTCCCTTAAATCCTGACAGGATGTTGATATAACACTTCAGCTCAAATCATTAATTTTCAAGGATCTAAAAGGAATACACTTTCTCAACAATAACAGAACCAGAGAAGTGGAAGCTCAAAGACTCAGCAGATTCAAAGCTTTGTATCTTTGAAACAAAATTAGCTGGAGTTTTATGGATAATAATCAGTGAATTTCATGATTCCATTTAAATGATTTCTCCATACTCATTTAATAAAGTTTCAAATGCTAAAGTTCCCTTGACAAACTACAAACTAAAGAACATGGTATACTTGTTTACTACTCCATTTGAGAGGGGCAAATAAAACACTAACCCTTCTGTTTTTGTTATAGAGTATTGTATAACATATGACATATACCACAAGGTACCAACGTTTTACCAACGGGTGGTAGAAATTTAATGATTACCATTTAATTTAGTGAGAAGCTAGATTGACATTCTTTCTGGTCAGAAAATAAAACCAACATCACGTTGGTGGCATAAAGCAAAATCTAATTATGTAGCTAGGAAAAAGACTATGAAACAACAAAAAGGTAATGCCACCTGCGTCAAAATGTTTTTGCTTTCATTGTCTTTGTTCTTATTCTTAATATCTTCATCTCTTCACAAAAGACGTGAAATCACAATCAACTACAATCAGTTCGAGAAACCAAAGGAATATGTTACATCATAGTAGCCAATCTAAGAATACATTATTTATCATCAAAACAGACAGGGTGGTATTGTCAAAATAGTACAAGTGATATACTAAAACAATACACATAGTTCGCAAAATGTTAATCCAATTTTATTTGTCCCACAAGCTGTTAAAAAAATTAAATTAAATTAAGGAATATCCCGAATCATCATGTATACCAGGTCAGGGGGCAGATGTGCAATCTAACCTTTTAATTCAAAACACTGATTAACCAGAAGTGTACTAACATTCGGATAAAGCTATGGCCCAGCTAGAAAAAACTGCTAAGTTCTGAATGGAATAATTTAGATGCTGAAGGTAAAAAGATAACATGAGAACTAGATTGAGATTATTGAAGCAAACAAGAATGTTATATATGATTTTGAAAGCCTAGATTATTCAACCTCATCAATTTTTCACCGACCAAAAATCTATTGATTTGAATAAATACCAAACCTGCCATAAATCAAAACCAAACTTGGAATCTCATAATTAATTAATGGTTGACTTTTGAAGTCTTACTCTTTCAGACATCCTGAAGAGGAGGATGACAACAAGAATGGCAAGATTCTGGCTCTCTCCACAGGTGTCCTTAAAGAACAGGATTTATCAATAATAAGTTTTAGTAGGGAGATAGCATAACTGAAATCTCAGTTCCGGATTTTGAATCAATTGTAGATATATAAGTTTCAAACAAATTCAAATTTCATATGTAAGTGCAATTAATAAGTGGTTTTAAGTTAGCTGTTAAAATAGGGTAGTTTTAGGTCAAACCAGCAGCGACTAAAATGTGGCGCGGGGGGGCGGGCCTGGGGAGGGACCCTGATAGAGCTGTATGTTCATGAATGTACTCAAATGCAGATTTGACCCTCAACCGGATTGCAAAAAACCGAAAACCACCCTACCCTATAACAGAGGGTAACAAATATGCACGGAAAGAAACAGAAATTCTAGATGTAATCAATTCAAAAGAACATCTCCAGCAAAAAAATTAAATAACATAAGCAATCATGGTCAAAGGACGTTTATGATACATCAGTTGCATAAAACAGCAAGTATCTAGGAGTCCTCCAAGCTTGATACCATCCGAATGTACCTCATGGCTTATGATATTTTGTTGCATGAGTAGGATATTAAATCAAATATAATTCCAAGAGCATCAACAAAAAAAAAAATGAAATGAGAAAGAAAGAAAGAAAAAAGAGAGAGACATGGATGGCCGGAGTTACAAGCCTGCCAAAATTAAATGCATCCAATAAACAAAACAGATCAATGTTCGATGAATCATCACCTTTGCAACTGTTGAACCAATACGCTTTTCCCTATCAGAAGCATTTTTCTCATTCCCGCGATTAATCAATTTCTCATATTTGTCTCTAAACCTAAAGATGCGACAAACAAGAATACAGATGTCAATTTCTCAACAATTTTGTAGTACAGTTTGATTTAAAAATATCACCTACCATTTATATTCACCTAATAGCTCAGGACAGCAAAAGTAGAACAATGCCCAAAGTTCCTAAATTCATTTCAAAGAACAAAAACAGATAAGTATCATGGATAGAGGCTAGTAAATAATGCCGTCAGCAATAAAGAAACCAATAGTATTGAAAAATATCAATAACAAACCTTGAGATTATTCTGAAGAGGCGTGCCGCTGATAATAATGCGTCGAGCAGCAGGAATCTGAATCAAACTTTTTGCTCTTTGTGTACTAGGATTTTTTATGAGATGACCCTGAAAGTTTTAGAGTAATATAAAATTGGATACAAGACAATATAGCGAATTCAAATTTCAACTAGTAGGTTCTTATGAACTAGAAGTTACACTATGAGACCCTGACAACATGGGCACAAGCGTTAAAAAAAAATATGAATAAGCAGAATGCAACTATAATCACTACAGAAACAACATATGACAAACACAGTTACCAATGTTACAGTAGATCAACAACTTATATCACCTTCATTCCAGAAACATAAGCATCCAAGAAGATTATAAAACAATATTGAATTAATACAGGCAATATGTCATAAGGATCAAGCCACCTCCAGAAAGAGGAAGCAAGGAAAAAAGTGCAAGAGCATTGACGTAAAACAACATTTCCAAGGATCAATAGATCAGCATATGAAACATTACCACTCCCTTGAGGGAGTTTTTATTTCACAAAGAAAACGAAAAATACAACTAAGTAAAAGTTATGAAAAAAACGAATGTTAAAAAGATAAGAAACACAGATCACACAAAGATCAGCTTCTTTGGACCGTAAGTTAATGTACCTCGTCAAGAATTAAATAGTCCCATGTTACTTCATCTTCATCGCCGTCATAAAATTCTCCACTCAATGATTTTGCATTGTGCCGCACAATATCATAAGTTGTCAAAAGGATCCCTTTATCCTATGGTAGGTGAAATTTTGAAACCAAATTAAATGTGAGCCGCAATATTGAAGTGGAATTTCAATTTTCATTTTGGAGAACTTCCAATTAGCAAGTAGAACGAGAGAATACCTGAAGCACATACTGAAGTTCGTATTGCCTAGTATTAACATTAGTTCCATAGTACCTGTTGATAATGAACGTGTAAGAAAAAACTTTTGCACCGAGTGGATGAAGTGATAAATGTAACAAAGAGAAGAACATAAAAACCCAGACTCACTCTCTTATCATCTGAGCAAGGCCCACAGTTGTAAGTTCTTTAATCCATTGTGGCAACAGTGTTTTAGGAGCAACAATTAATGCTCTTTTTATCAATCTCGAGTGAAACAGTCCAGCTAAGAAGGAAGAAATCTGAGGTATATAACTTTAAGTCAGTTTATCTATGGTAAAGGACATCTAACTAGAGAAGTTAAACCATTAAAATCTTATTCCTTTTACCTGCATTGTCTTCCCCAGTCCCATATCATCACCTAAAATACCACCCTCACCTTTGCAATGAAGTGACCATAGCCACTTCAGGCCATCTCGTTGGTGAGGGTACAATGATTTGGCAACTTTCCCGGGTAATTCGAAACTAAACCGTGGTCCAGACAAAGTGATAGTATGCTCCTCATCTGACGAATAATCATCCGTTGAAGCTTCCATTAAGAAATTATACTTGTCAGCATTTTTGACAATCCGCTTTATCTTCCGATGACCTTTTTCTGCTTTATTTTCAAAGTTCTTCCCACTGACAAAAACACAATCATCATCGTTTTCATAAACACAATCATCTTTGATTACAACCTTTTCTTTACCCGTCAAAGTGGTATAAACAGATTGTTTGGTTGAAACAGACTTCCCTCCAATCAATTTAATGTCATTTTCCTTGGAAATCTCATAAGTATTTGTGCTCTTATTAACTTTGCCAAGAGAACTATGACTCTCCATTTCGTCATCCAAATCATATATCTTCGGAGGCTCTTTTCTGTTTGCACATTGAGCATTAGATTCTTTAGCTGAATCCAGAGATGAACCAGATGAACTTGAGAATGAAGAAGCTGCACTTCCGAACTCCAAATATTCTCCTTTCTTCTGTACAAGATTTATATCGTTCTTATCCACATTTCCGGGTTCCTTCGTAAAGTCCATCCTTTTAGGTACCGGTTTCCTCTCAATGGATAATATCTCAAACTTAGAGTTCAAATCATCAAGAATATCCCTAATTTCATTCACGCCATCATTAGCGTCATTCTCAGAATCAGCTTTCAGCTGAGGAACGAGATCAAAATTTGAAATCATCAAATCTTCTGCCTTTTGACCTGCCATGGTCTGAGCTTTCACTGTACTGGCATTACCCACACCTTTTGTTACTTTACAAAGGCGACGCCTGCCCTCAATCCTCACTTTCTCTGGATTGTCCTCAGCTCCTGCAGAACACTTATGTATTCAGTTTGACTGAAATCAAGAGATTTTAATATCCAACAAACAAATAAGCTTATAATACCAAAGCAAATTTAGAGAGACAATTGTACCAGGGAGATTTGGAAGAGAACCAGCAGCACCATTTAGATGACACCCGGTTTCTCCAGCAAGGACATTCTTCTCATAAACTTGAGAGCCATCAAGATCAAAATTTGTTTCTTTACTCTCACCTGGTGAATTAGAAATAGTCATTCTTCAATTCAAACATAAATCTCATATCTCAAGGAAGAAGACCCAAGGAAACGTTCTTTGAATGCCTGCTTCTTAATCTTTAAGTGGATCTTAATATCTTATATTGGTATGACAAGTTCCTATTAGTAACATATTCGGATTGCAATTCAAATTGAAACCAATCCGTTGGTTCCTCAAACAAGTGTCAACACAAAAACACATTACAGTAGAGAAGGGAACAGCTATAGTTTACCTGAAGAGGGTGATGGGGAATCAAAATCAGCCATCACAAAGGAGGCAGGAGCTTCAGTTGTTTTAACAATTTCAGAAACCTTTGGCGAATGCTTGGTTTCAGTTTTCCCTTTTGAGAATGAAAGAGCAGAGAAAAATCATTCAGTACTAAGCAGATGAACAAAAGCAATGTCGAAAAAAAGAACTTATTTGTAAACTATACCTGAAGAGGAACAAGGACGAGGCGGTGGTGAAGGAGAATCGAAGTCGACTATTCCCGAAAAATCAGGAACGTCATCGTCCTCAGCCTGAGCAAAGGCTTTCCGCAGCCGGCGCCTCCCTGGGACGTTCGTCTTCACACCGGATGGCTGTTCATCAGCTTCATCCCCATAACAAAAATCAACCCCAAAAAAAACACATTAGAAACAAACAAAGCCCTTCAATTGTTTGAAGAAATACACTAGACCAATAATTCAAGATTTTTCAAATAAATTCGAAAGGAAGCAGCCATGACAGCTCCCAGTACCGGAAATTTTGGTGAGGGGTTTTGATCGGGAAATCGAGTAATCACTCAGAAGCCGATTGTGTCGTTGATTAAGGCTCAGAGGCTCCTTTACGCCGTGCGATTTCTCATCCATCTTGAAAGCTTCAAGATTGATGATGAACGGATGAAGAAAACAGTATAAATCGTTCGAAGGTTTACTATTTTATCGTCAATTTCTAACCATTTTGTTGGAACCTGGAAGTGGGAAGAAGGAGGTGAAGAGAAAGTGGGGATTCGTGCACAGAAATAGAGAATTTGGTTTCCCGCTTCAGTATGTGAAATTGAATTTTAAAGAGAGAGGGTTTTGGGCAAATGAGAAAGGAGAATTTTTTTTTTTATTAGTATTATTTTTTAAGCCGTACATAACTTTGAAAATAACTTTGAAATCGTATAGAACATCGGCGGTCCGATCAACTATGAAAATATGGTAACAATTTTTCCATCATTAGTCAATTTTTTACCATGGTAACAATATTCCCATCATTAGTCATTTTTTTCTCATTGATGTTTTGACCTTTAATGTACAGAGGAAATTGAGGCTTTGTGTTGTTTGGTTTTGTTGATGGTTTTTTAAATTAATTTATTATTAAGTGTCTCGTCTCAACATATCTTTTTACATTTTTAATACACCTTTTTATATTTCCAATACAAAAAATACCTAAAAACATACACTAAAAAAACAAAACAAACTTACCCTGAATTTGAAACTTGGCTCTGTTTGTTTGGTTTTTTGGATGGTTTTTTTAGATTATTTTAATAATAATTGTCTCATCTCAATATACCTTTTTACATTTTCAATACATCTTTTTACATTTCCAATATAAAAAACACTTAAAAACACACACTAAAAAAACGAAACATACCTATTACAAAAGTAATTGGAAAAATTTTGATTAAGGGTGGAAAAATTTTGATTAAGGGCATTGAAAAGATGATTATATTATTATTATTATTATAACGGGCATGTATCTCATTAATTCATTAATATCATGAATACTAAAATAAATTTAGTAATTTGACATTCGCCAAAATGACTGTTTTAACCTTTATTGCAAAATGAGTCTTGCCGCCCGACTGATGGCTCCGTCAAAATTTGATCGGGAAAAGTGCACTTGATCGCTGGAGATTTAGATCATCGTATTCAAGAATCCATTAGATGTGATATTCTAATTATCTTTTGCTTTCCTTCTTCTTCTTTCTTTTCCTTTTGTTTTGCCTTCTTTTAATTAATTTCACATAATTTTACACAGTTCTTGAATTGGGAGTACCCGGAGTGATCTAAACATGATGAAAATTTGAGCGAACTAGAATCACCATGCTGCGTCACTAGCAAACTCAATGAGTAGTATATCTACTTCTTGAAGCAAACAATTTCTGATATTTGAAAATTAAGTTTGCATTCTGTTGCAAAATAGAATTTTATATCTTCATCATCTAGAAATTTCCATGGCAAAAAAAGAGAAATAGATCAAGAACTAAGGAAAATTAGATTAGATGAAGAGAGGAATAGGCCTATGAAACATTTGATCTGCATGGGAATCCAAGCATTTATGATGCCGATTTTGGCCATTATTTAGTAGATAATTTTCCTGTGATGAAAAAATCTGGTTGTTATAATCTTTTTAGGAGTCAAAATATATTATAAGTGTCTTAATAAGTAAAAAATAAATAATTCTCATGTCCTTTATAATAATTATGACCATTCCAACGTCCTTAATCAAAATTTTTCTAAAATAATTCATCGCGAAAGAGTTGATCGCGCCTGTCTAAAACTATCTAATTTAGAGTTGTAATAAAAGACGTTGGCAAAATATGCAATTCCGGAATATATACAAAACCGAGTTTAGTTAGTAAATCCTCTAGTTCATTACAGGGTTTTCTAACGTGAGTGAGCTCCGCTAGGCAATGTCGGCTCAATTTTTTTTTAATTCAATTGTTTACTTTCTCTTTTTCGCGTAGCTCCTATTATACTTTTTTCTCGAACTTGTCAGGTGATTGTAGAGAGTATGCTACTTCATTTTTCAACCCTTCAATGGATTGGGTGGTAATTCACACAATTTTTAGGCCAATTACCACCAATACGGTTGCTCTAACTGGTTTACATTAAGACTGGCAAAGGAGTGCAGGTTTCTGATCCATTGTTTGTAACTAATTAATGTTCTTGTATAGTTCTTTTGTTCGATTGATCTCTTTTGTAATTAGATTTGTTGTTGTTTTAATCTGTTTAGATATGATATCTATTGACAGCTTAGTGGTTAGGTTGCTGTTTTTTTGGTAATAGATCAGAGTTCGATTCCCACTAGAGGTCCACCAGGGATTGTAAAGAGTATTTTACCCATATTTAAGTAAGTACACTGTGGATTTTTTTTTATAAAAAAAGATATGATATATATAGCATGTTCTTATTTTGACTATAGATTATGGTAACTATCACACTGGGTTGTTGTAACTATTTTCTGGGTAACTATCTGAGAAAAACATCTTTTATTTGATAGGGTTTTATAAGCCCATTTTTTTGTTTTTTTTGTTTTTTTTTTTTTCTTTTGGAGAAAAAACAAAGGCTCGCTTACTGTTATAGAAGAAGGCTCATGCCATGTTTGTTCCAACTTACCAACCCAAACCGCCATTTTTCTTTTGGTAGCAGTGTTTATCTTCTATCTCTCTCTTTTTTTTTCTCATTTTTTTGCTTGTGGCAAGAAAAATTTTCAACGGCTAAAAGTTATAAAATTCGTAACGGGTACAAGTTTTTTTTTTGAACTTTCATATTTTGTTTACCAAGCCATCATATTATATTGTAATCTTTGCATCTCCTATTCTCTTTTACTACACCTTAGATGAAAGTAATAACAGTAATAATTTTATTTTTTTTCCTTACTGAAAGATAATGATATCATTCTTCAACTTCGTTACTTTCACAAGTATAAACTATAAAGCACTTGTATCACACTTTGAACTCCATAATCCATGTATTGTGGTACCATCTAAATTTATGCAGTCCCATTGTTACTTCTGTGTACACTCTCATTTGAAATCGCCAAAAACAGCAAAACTTGAAAGTGAAACAACACATGTAATGCAGAGGCAGCGGGATAAGAGTGCTTTTTCATACAAATTTCAATAATACTTCCATTCTGCAGTTCTGCTTCAGAAACCAACAGCAAAAAAAAAAAAAGGTGCTAAGCAGAAAACCCAGAAACCAAAAATATATGCCACTTTGAATTATCATCAGACTATAGCATAACCGAAACTTGAGAAGTTCGTAGGTACCTTTTCAAACTCTTTTAACATTTCCACTTTCTCGAAACAAGCTCCTGGCAAACAAAATTGTAGACTGATCGATCTAATTTTCCTTTTATCACAGGGTTCTCAATTGAATTCAACTCTTACATATTTACACCAAGCCATAGATCTGAATTCGTAGCATTATCTGTTTATTTAGCATTAAAAAAAACTAGAAAATAGAAAAATGGAGCAAAGCAAGAAAGTGCGTTCTGGTAACGTTCCTATACTATACAGCAATTTCAGTTGACTGTTGAATGTCATCTACAACGATGGAGGGAATTGACTGGTGTTGCATTTTCATTTCAGCTTTCCTCCTGTTTGTCTCAAGAACGACCAGGAGTGCAGTAATATCAGCAGGGCTAACCCCACCAACTCTACTGGCTTGACCAATTGTTTGGGGCCTCACCTGCAATAGAAAGACTTAAAACTTGTAACTGCAATCATAGAACTATCTTCCTATGTCATCTCTCCTCATTGGCGAGATGTATTTGTAAGATAAGGATACAAGTAAACCATGAACAGCTTTAAACCATGGGATATCAGGCAAGCTTAGTGAACTTATATAACAGCTTTAAATTCAACAATCACGCAGATGTTAGAGTATCCTCGTGCAAATTGATCGACATATTTGCTTCCTTAATTGCCCATAAATGGCTGGTTGGTGTTAACACTACAAATGTTTTCTTCTCTTATAAAAGGGTGTCTTGCATTTTAAGAGGCTACAGAGACTACATTTTCAAGATGAGCACAAAATACCTTCGATAATTTCTCACGTGCTTCATGAGAAAGAGTTGTCATTGCATAATAATCTATGTCATCCGGCAGTCGTTTGTGTTGTTTATGGACCATCTGTCAGCAGATTTAGGAAACTGAGACTTGTCTAAAGAAAGATTTAATAAAAGACAACACACCAAGCAGAAGCCAATGCAGTTCAACAAAAGAGCAAGGCTATACAGCAGGTTAGGCGCAATCATCATTATTGCGCACAAATTATCTGGGTGACATTTATAAAGAACAGAATCAGAACATAATACAGAAGTAAAGCAAGAGGCTCAGTAGACATGCAAGTTTTTGGAGTAGGTAACACAGTGATCAGTAAAATAAATCAAAAGGAAATCTAAACCTGTTGCAGTTGGGCTTTCTGGCGAGCAATAAAACCTTCATACTTGATGTCAATCTCCACACATTCTTTTTCCACCCTAGACAGGAGCTCATTTCCAAAACCATGCTTATCCAGAACTTTATACTGGACATGTGGCTTCTTAAGAAGACTCTCCAATGTCGATGAGTCTTTTACAGGCTGAGAAGATAGAACAGTAACTTCGGCAGCCAGATCTCCACCTATTGAAGGAAAAAAAAAAACAACCCAGAGGAATGAGGCACTATGATTGAAATTAGAGAAAAAAAAAAATTACTTTCAGAGTGGAGATTAATAATTTAGGACAAATTGTTCGCAGAATGAGATTTTCAGAAAGCCACCTTGGTAAGATATCCCTGAAAGGGAAAAAAGTCCTTTATCTTGAATTTTCAAGGTCTATATCATCTATTCATTCATCTAATGAGCAATAAAGACAATTTTGGTTTATCTATCTTTTTCAAACATGTTGCCTACATACGCAGTTCACAATTGCCTCGTTGAATAGAGAGCAGGAAATATCTTCGAATGTATTTCAATGATTTCTCTAATCCATGTAAACTATGAAAACCTGGGGCATAACAACAAAAAATTCCAAATGTATACCAAGACTTCCCCAGTTGTATCTTTGGTTATTGTTCATTTCACAAGGAATTTTCTTTTTCCTCTTTCTACATTCACGTACACATTTTCTCAGCAGGGTTCAAAAATAAAGCAATTCCCATCACTAATCATTTTTGCAGCCCGTAGAAATAGTCGTCCACTAGCACCCCCCAACAAAAAAAAAATAAAAAATAAAAAATAAAAAAAACTAGCACAAGGAAACATGTTGGCGTTTAGTTATTGCAGAACATATCTGCCAACCTGAAATCTTCACTGTACTTAATCGCCTTTTCTCCCCTGCTATTCGAGCCTGCTTGTCCTGGTACATTTTCCATCGTCTATCATCTACCAGACCGATTTCACGTCCAAGAGGTGTAAGACGACTATCGGCATTGTCAGATCGTAGAAGTACACGATATTCTGAGCGGCTAAAAGAGGAGTAAAAGGAAAAACAGATTGTGAGCAATTTTAAGAGATGCTAAGCAGATGTCAAATTCAGAAATAAGATTGTACAGCACAATTGAGAGAAATCTAGATGCATTACTACATACAACGAACTAAGATTCACTCATTCTTGCAATCCAGCAATTGAGGTTCAGCTGCATTTTGCTTTAAAATTATCTTTTACACATGAACATGCTAAAAGGAAGAGAATTGGCTTTAGTTGGTTATCCAACGCTTTCTTCATCGGCAAAAATTTAGGGCGCGATGCACATAGAAGTCATGTGAATAATCAGACAGACGTATCATCTAGCTTCCCATAAAAAGCACGAAGTTGTCTTTCCCAAAAAGCTGCGCAGATGTAATGAAATTTTTACATTAATGCTTGAAAGGAGCTCAACCTAGATTGAGCTATATCGCAAACACAGGTTACTCGTCGCGTACAATGTTCCTTATGAATGAGACAGACCGATGTTCAACAAAAAAAAATAGAAACTTCAACCACTTCATCACATTAAGAGAATGGAACATCAATCTTAAAAAGTCAGGCCTAATGCTCTTGCAAGTCAAGCTTTGCATTCACCCACTAAAGTGCCACATAAGCCAGAACCCAATAACTAAAACAAGACAATACACTAGCACACATGAGAAACACTACCAAGGTCTTTACTTCAAGAGTATGCACTAGAAGGGAGATATAGGCGGGTTGGGTCAATCCAAAAGTTGCACCAATCTGGGGACTGGAAGTGATACTTTTTTAACCATAACCAAATCCAACCCATCTTATACAACAGAAGCATTGGGCATGGTTGGGTTGGGTTGAAATTGACTTGCGGGATCGCGAAGTCGTCACCCATGTGGGACATTTTAATGTTGTATGATAAAAAAAGTCAGGTGACGGTTCCGGTGATCAATGGACAACATGAAATTATTTTACTACGTTGAAGTTACCTGCAGGTCAACCATCCAACCAATCTTAAACTATTGACCAATTTAACAAGCAACTCATCTACCCAAATTGCCAATAAAACATAAACGTTGGGACAAGATAATGTTGCATGGGTCACATTGCCCCCACAACCCAAAAAAAAAAAAAAATTTCTGAAAGCAAGCTCAAGCTCAAACTGATTGCCAATATTCAAAACCCAGTTCAAGTCTCCTATGCATAAGAGCTTTTCATCATTCATCCAAAAACAAAGCGACACACCAAAATGAGTATAAGCCATCAATTCAAAGGCCGGATAAGCTTCATCATTCTTTCACATGCAGATCAACAAACCGTAATAAGTATAAGCCATCTATTTTGAAGGTGTAAATAGTCCAAAATTAAAAAGTAGCATTCAGGTTGTATTTACATGATCCTGCATTGACCGAACAAAGATATTTATCAACATAAAGCTAAGATTGAGCATACGCATACAACAAAGCACTGAGCAACAGAAGAATGACAATTCAAATATTCAAGATCCAGAAAAGACAGTTCATTAAACTAGTAAGTCATAATGTGTCTTGAGCTGGCCCCTTACCTTGTTAACATACGGTACGGCTCTCGGAGATCTTTGGTGACTAAATCATCAATTAAAGTACCTATGTAGCTACTTTCTCTCTCAAGAACAATAAGGGACTTCCCATCTGAGTGCCTAGCAGCATTGATTCCACAAAGTATTCCCTACAAAAGGCAAGAGAAGACATGTTAAAAGCAAGATGTCCATTTCCTTGACAAGACTGCAATAAGAGGCTGCTTGTTTTCCAATAGAACCATCAACAAGTAAAAAAGTACAACCTGGGCAGCAGCTTCTTCGTAACCTGTTGTCCCATTTATCTGACCTGAGAAGAAGAGTCCTTCCAATTTCTTAGTCATAAGGGACCTGTGACACTGATGAGCAGGCAAGTAATCATACTCAACAGCATATGCAGGCCTCAGCATTGAACAATTCTCAAGTCCGGGTAACGATCTGAGGAGTGGTAGCTGCAGTCGCTCAGGCAAACCAGTAGAGAATCCCTAAAGAGAAAACAACATTGAGCATTCTAAGATTATCATAGGATTGTGCCAACTTATAATATATATGGGTCATCAAGAGAAGATCTAGAAATTGGTTACATCATGATATAAACATCTCCCAGAGCAAATCAAGTGCTTGTTTAACTATGAAGAACCAAGACCAAAGGCAACAATACCTGTACATAGAGTTCAGGAACATCTCTACCCTCTGGCTCCAGAAATATTTGATGTGAATCTTTATCTTGAAATCTCACAATCTACTACAGTCGAAATAGAAAACAAATAACATAAGATACAAAAAAAACTTATCAACTTATAAACTACAGCATAGGAAAAGGAAGACTTCTTAGGAAACAAAGCTCACTTTGTCTTCAATTGAGGGGCAGTATCTAGGTCCCTTGGCCTCAACCCATCCTCCATACGTAGGAGTCTCATGCAAATTGTCCTTAATTAGCTGGTGTGTTTTCTCTGTTGTTCGAGTCAAATAACAGCAAATCTGTTCCCTTTCGATGTGAAACTCAGGATCAAAACTGAACCAGCTCACCTAATCATGATCGATGCGCATAAGAACCATAAATTGTCAAAAGTTGATTAAAACTGGGTTCCTAAATAAAATCAAAATTGTAAGAATAAATGAAACATATAATGAAACTTTAAAATTGTTTTCTGACAATTTAGGGGAGAGGTTGGACCATTAAGCCCTAATGCAGAAACACCTTATATACGAGTTAGATGCAGAAACAGCTTCTAATAAAATATAAAGGTAAGGTAAGGCTGCATACATTAGGCCTTAATGGACTATACCTGCCTGAAGGCCATACAGGAGCACCTATGATCTGAAGTCTGAACTACTCCAAATTTATCTTCGGTTCATTCCACAGGCCTTTTCTTAAAATAAAAAAAAAATTTTAAAACACAATGTTCCCCTTCTAGGCATTAGCAAATCTACTTATGGTGCTCATACATTCGTAAGTTATATGCTCCATTTCTCAGATCACTAGCTACGCGATTCGCTAATAAAACACAAATAAGTCAATGTTCTTTCTTTGGCTTCACTCAGTTACTTTCTAATTAAGGTAATAGTCTGCGAATCAAATACTCCCTCCGTCCCATAATTATTGTCCAGTTTGGCTAAGACGAAAGATTTTATTTTTGGTCAACTTAACTATATTTTGGCGTATGCAACCGGATATAGCCCTGCATAAGTAATTGTTTAACCGGCAAAGGTTTTATGGATGATGTTGTTGACTAAAGGACAAATGTGTAGCTTACTCCATAAAAAGTCAAATCGGACAATAATTTTGGGTCAAAATTTTTTTTGGCAAAGTGGACAATAATTATGGGACGAAGGGAGTACATAAAGCCAGTGATTGGTCCTGAGATGAAACTCATGAGTGCAGCTATCTACGACAACATCCAACAAAAATTTGCAGCACCAAATGAATGATGAAGTTATAGACTTGCGAAAAAATACGATTTTTTACTTCAAATGAAAATATGTGAACTCGAGCACGATAACCATATACAATCCATATAACCTACACAGTTTTATTGCAGTTTATCGAGTGAATTTTTGGTTCAAACTGAAGTCAAATCTAGAGAGGAATTTGACCCTGGTTGGGTGATTTAACAGTACGTTTCAAACATCCAATTTGCCAACAGAAAGAGAATTCATCTAATTTCATGGTTAACCTAGACTTGAGAGATTAAAAACTGTCTTCTTAAGACAAAGAACCTGCTTCAGTCAAGAAATTAGCAATCCATGTATTAACTTTTCAATCAATAATGTCGGAGACCTATGTTTCTAACTCCAGGTTCCCATGCCCCCAAAAAAGAGCACAACAACTAAGCCTTCTACACACTATGGGGGGCCTCGACCATAGGGGTCATATGAAGTAATTATGCTCTGTAAAAACACATATTGCACATCAAATTCAAATAAATAATATCTTCGTAATAGTCTCTTTGCAATTCTTTTTTGGCTTTTTATAATTTTAAATCCAGTTAGCAATTCTATGTTTCCACCATCATTCAGGAGCAGGTAAAGAATTCCTATGCACATAGGAATTCAGCTCAAACAATTCACTATAACAGATACACAGTTGCATTGACTGACTGCAGCATCTATTAGCACACTCGATTCATGAAAGAGCATAAATGGAAAAATAGAAAATGAATCCACCAAAAAAGAAAATTATGCAGTATAAAACTAAATTTTATTATTCTAATCTTTTTCAATTAGTAAGATAAAGCTTAAGCACGAACAAATTTTATGCTGTACAAAAAAGAAACAAACAACCAGACGACCTACAGGGAGAGTAAGTGGAAACCTCTTCATCTCCGTGCTGGGCCTCCAGTCCAGAGAAAGCTACTGTCCGAATGTCCACACGAGCAGGTGTGCCAGTTTTCAGCCTGTCAGTTTCAAATCCAAGAAGCTGCAAATTTTCAGTCAGCCCATGTGAAGCTGATTCACCAGCTCTTCCTGCAGGCATTGAAGTTCTACCAACCCATATTTTCCCGCTCATGAAAGTACCAGTAGTGAGGATCACCGAAGGGGCAAGGAAGTTCATCCCAAAAAAAGTACGAACACCTTCCACATTGTCATTTCTACCCACCAAAATCTCTGTGACCATTGCCTCTCTAACATAAAGGTTTGCTGTACTGCAAAGCAGTAGACATTGGGATTAGAAAAATATAACTTCCAGCCAATTACTTAGAGGCACAAGTAAATTATGGTCTCCAACTTGCCTCTCCACAACTTTTTTCATTTCCATAGCATATTCCCTCTTATCGGTCTGCGCACGTAGTGCTCTAACTGCAGGACCTCTTGACGTGTTCAGGACACGCTTTTGCAAATAACATCTGTCATAATAATGAGAATAATAATGTGTGTGTGAGAGAGAGGATCATATACAGTGAATTTCCCAACTACATTACCGCCACCCGTAAAAGATACTAAAACACAAAACAAAGACACTTTGAAATTGAAGAGCTTCCTACAAAAATAATAGTCATGCGAATGTGAGTGAAATCAAAGTTCATGGTTTGAAGATATCGTTAAATTCCTTCAATGCAATCCTATCAAACAGGTACATCAGGAAGACAATCCAAAAAGAGTGGGTCTTCAAATATCATTTTCCTTCAATGAAGGAAACTACGTTTGAGGACTTCAAGAATAAGAACTCCCTCCCTCCTCCCTCCATACCAATACTGGCCTCAAAGCTATTATTGTAGGCAAACAGTGCAGAAGAGTGAAGCTAATGGAATTGATTTATGTGCATCTTTGTTCACTTTATTACCGAACATGAAAGAATAATTTATGTTAAGGACTATTGAAAAAGAAGATAGAGAACCTACCCAACCAAAAGAATAAGCAAAAGCATGATGACTTCAGAAACACCAGCAAGAATTGGACAACTTATGTTTTCTAGTACAACTTCCACAACGAAGAGACTTTCACGGCTCAGATGCTAATATACCCAACTTCACGCTCACTATAGTTGAATGAACATCACCAAATGACACTTCACAAGATCAGAATTTACCTATCAGCTATTTTTCCAATTTCACCACCAAGTGCATCAACTTCATGTACAAGCTGGGACTTTGCTGGTCCACCCACAGCCGGATTACAAGGCTGGAAACAGAATTGAACCAAGACAAATTACCCAACCCATTAATCATCTCAATGTAAAATGAAACAATACATAATTCATAACAAACTCAAATGCGGTTTGTTAGAACAAACCTGCCATGCTATACGATCAAGATTAAGCGTCAGAAGAAGAGTTTTTGCCCCTAAACGTGCTGAAGCAAGGGCAGCTTCACAGCCAGCATGACCACCTCCGACCACTATCACATCATATTTGTCTATCGAATCTTCACCATATCTATTTCCATCTTTCAAAAAAAGGGGGGAAAAAAAAAACACCCCCCAAATCATATCCAATATCAGACCATAGAAGGAGAAGCCAAAAATACCGAAAGCAATACAAATGATCAGAATTCAGAAACGCTTTCATTTCGTTCATTCACCACATTATAGGATCAGAAACGGCCAAACGCAAAAAAAAAAAAAAAAACCTATACAGTTCCAATTTAGCTAACGAGAGTGAATTCAAATCTACCTGAAGCAGCACGAGCGGAGAAGTGGCGTTCGAAGGCGGAGTTACACAAAACACGACTATTTAAACGACTGCAACGAAATTCGAACGGTTTCTTCGGCAGTTTCCGCAAAGAGTGGTAAGAACGAGGAAAGAGAAAAAGATACGAACGGCAGTAGCGGGGAGGGAGGCAACTAACAATCCGAGGTAAACTTGAAGATAAACCAGAAGCCATTCTCGAGAAGCAGAGAATATATGTTGTTTAGAAACCAGAAAATAAAAGTAGAAATGGAGAAAGACGGCCGCCGGAATGGAGGAGGAGTATGATAAGATGTATCCGAACCGCCGTAGCCGGGGGTCACCGGTGGCCGGAGAGGGGTTTGAGGGAGGTTTTTAGCCTATCACTAAGGACGAGAGTGGTAAAGCGCTGTATCAAATTCATGTTCGAAGTTCAGAGATTTCGGGTCCGATATAAACTCGGATCGGATAGTAAAATTGTTTTGCATTTGGCAGACAAATGTTAATGATAATTACTCTTTTGGTTCCAAAACCTTTTCCTTTTTCAAAATAAAATCTCTATTTAAGGTGATAATTTATTTTAGATACTCTTTCTATTGGGTAATAATTATTCAATTTAATTTTTTTTATAGATAATTAGCTAGTCAATTTAGTTGAATTTACGTCAAAATTACTAATTTGAGAAGCTACTATCAAATTTGACACTGACAAAACTATACAAACAGAAATTTGAAAAAAGCCATATAAATCAAAACTGACATTATCAAACCCTTACATTAGAATGTTTAGTGTTTGTAGATAACCTTGATCTGTATAATTCAGTTTCATAGTTGATTCCCTAATGCACCACTTGATCTCCTACTACATGCTCCGAAACAAGATGGCTCTTTGCCCTAAAAAATTTTCTGATTTTGTTCATTCCAAAAGTAATATATTCCTATTACAGTACAAGCAAACAATACTTGTTGTTTTAGCCTATTCTATTTCCAAACTTGGGATAATTTCTTCAAGTAGTTTAGGAGGACCGAAGTTTGGTTAACTTGAATACAATTTAAAGTTTTAGTACACTGAAAATTTAAATCGAATAATTATTTTTTAGACAGAGAGTGATTGGGTAGGAGACATTGTAGTGCTACCTCTTTTTGAGAGTTTTTCATTCAGATATACACACATTTTGTGACCTATTAATATTATTACTTTCAGTTTGGGTTCAAATGCAGAATAGACAACTGGAGGGATTTGCTGGAGAAGGCCAGCTTACCACAATCGGAATAAATCGTATAATAATTCAAAGCATTGTTTTCCTGAAGAGGAGGAATCGCCTGGTTCAGCAGTCCAGATATAGTGCTTCCAACATCCTCAAACCACTGCATAAAAATAAAAATCCCCTAAAAATAATAATAATAACTCAAAACTCCCGCCAGAAAATTCATCGCCGCCAAATTGAATCAACAATCATCACCTCCGATCCCAACGTCCGCCGTCCGGCCGGCAAAATCTCACCCCGGAAATCTCGATTCTCAATTCTACTAATTCACCTCACTTCAATCACGCCTCCACCCCGCCTCCGTTTCCAAAAACTCCTTCCAATTCAAATGCAACGGCTAATAATTCACAATCAATTTTTGGACACCCAATTGATTTCCCGGCCGTAACATCCTGACTGAACCGGCCATTTAAGCTTTCAACTGCTCTCCGGATTTTCAACACTTGTTTCAATTGTCTTGAATGTTCTTATAATTTTTTTTTTAATCATTGATGGCTGATTACGTTTTTATTTCCCGTTTCCTTTCCTTTTTAGGTACAAGTTCAAGGAGGGAGACTTAATGGTGCCTGGAATTAAAGCTTCTGCATTACTTTTCCTCTGAAGAGGTTAATTCATGTTTGTGGTTTTCCGTCACCTTTATCTTACCTTATTCTACCTATGTATCTCAAGTGTTTGTTTAAAGGTTTAAATGAGACTTGAAACCTAGAGCGTACAAAGTTTATAGTCAGGAAGGAATATATATTTGAGGATTCAAAATTGGGGAAAATGTACTAAACTTGCTGGTTTAATTACTATTGTGGAAAAAGAAATGATCTTGGAACGAAATTTGGATTTTCTATTGCAAACCACGGCAGGTGGATTTGGAAGCATTGATGATGACTTGGAAGTTGAGCATCCTCATAGTTGGACAAGATATCCTCGGAACAAACGGCGAGGTTGATATGCTTCTGGATCAAATTGGAACCTTTTGTACACATGTTCGCTTTCAGTGTGTAACCCAATTGGCTCAAGTATGTACTCTATTAAACGCTGAGTGTTTTGTTTTTACCCCCTCTTTTGCATTGTTTGGATGCTTATGATCTCTACTACCAAACCCCCATGTTTAAGAAACTCCTGGTATGGGAAGATATAGTTGAGTAATCTGTTTCCTGCACACAGTACATCTTTCTGCCTTCTGAAATATAGTATGTGCACACAGTACATCTAAAAATAGAATTTATGCCGCAACTCGCAGGTATTCTGTTAGACCGTATAACAAGAGATTCAGAGGCAACTCAACTTCTTCTTATGGGCTTATCCCCAACTTACAGAAATACTCTTTTAGAAAATGTTATGTTTTTCTTCCCTCAAGAACTTAGAAATATTCCATCGACTTGATAAAAAATCTAGGAGTAGCTTTTGTTGTGCATTCAGTGACGATTGCTCAGAGGGCTGGTTCTTTCTCTGGAGTTCTGGAGAAAAATTGTGGCAGGCTGCAGGCCTTCCACTGAAAGTAAGTTTCTGACCTTTCGGCTTGGGACAGTAAAAAGATGGTTTTTAGTTGAATTCTGGCAAAACCATCACTAGTACACTAGTTAATCTAGATGACTTCCCATGCTTACCAAGTTTAGGCCAGAGATGTTCAATCATGAAAAGATTTCAGGTTTATTTTGTGATCATGTGATTCCCTATTACTTCTAATGCTAGGAGTCCAGTCAAAGAATTTCAGCATTTACTTTACTTTGTTGCAATAGCTTTGCAAATTTTGGCTGCATAGCTCAGCAGAATGAACATGGAAAAAATTACCATTACTGAAACTCTGAATCCTTGCAACTTTAACTTGTTTATGATGATGGATGCAGGAAACAGCAGCCGATCACTAGAAGAGCAGATTTCTGATAAAATCTCTCATCATGAAGTGGAAGCTCCAAATCTAGACAAAACTCCAAATAACCTAATTTATGCCTCCTAGCAAGCTACATATTTCTTTCTCTCTGATGATTGTAAGGATTAAATTGTTTCTCTCTACAATTTTGTTTTCCATTTCAGACTAAATCTCATGAATGTTCAAATGTTAAACTTCTGTTAGTCTTAAGTCAATCAAATTCATGTTAACTTGTCTTTTTTGTGATGTCAAATTTGTCAGTCGGTTATCACCAATTATTTGCTCGCAGGTAAACCTACACCACCATCTGCAAAACCTCCCGCTCCAGCTCTAACCCTTTATCGAATTGGCGGAATGTTTTGTGCATGAGGCATTAGAGCAAGGACCATCAAACTTATATGAGGTAGTTCTACAAATCTGTGAAACTAGATTGTTTCAGCTTTGCTGGTAAAAATACTGATTGTAATTGCAGTTCTGGATTTATATATGTGATATGTCTTTAGCGGTTGACAGAAAAATTTATCGGATTGAGGAGTTTAAGGGCCGAGTTTAAGATCTCTCTAGTCTGTTTAATTGTGCTCCCTTATTGCTTCTATTGTTTGCTTTAATTAATTATGTTATGTTAGCCTAAGAGTCGGTATCAATCCTAGTCAATGAGATATTTTAATTCGTTCCTATAAAGTGCCTTACTGAGGCAGATGCTTACTGTATCAGTTTGTGTCAGACAAATCATACATTAATTGATGCTTACTTAACAACAAACTGAAGGAATTAAATACTTGAGTTTGTTGTATTTTGTTAGGGATGAGATGTACTGTACTACACATTATTTTTGGGAACCTATTAATTGCAACCTTACTTTTAAGAACCTTTCAAGTCGAGCAAATGCAGCTGACCTTAATTATACTCCTTCGGTCCATCCAAAAAAAGGGGTCATGTTTGCTAAACTAAACAGTATTTCTAAGGGACTACCATCATTTAATAAGTTTGATGCTGATTGGTTTAGTCATTTTGACAATTACATGAAGCATTTTGCCTGATGTGGATGTAGATAGTGAAGTATAATAATCCTTGATGGGAACTTTTTTCTATATATGGAATAAAGAGATACAAAAAAAAAAAAATCTTATATAAGTAGTGACTTTATCAAGATCAGATCAAGATGAATGAGTGTAGGAAAACAACAACATGGGATGCCTCTAGATTGAAGAATTATTGGGAAGTTTGTATGTGTATGTTTTGATTATCCAAGCTGTCGTTTCCCAATTATCCCACTTGTGAAAATCCCAGCTGTGTTAGCTAACCTCCAACCCCAATCTTCCAATCCCATGTGCTTTGCCTATTCTTTCTCAATCCAATCTTCATCATCCTCATCACCTCATTCCAAATCCCAAATGGCCCTCTGAATTTGAGCCTCATCTCAATTTTACCAACTGTACTTTTTTTTTTTGGCTTGGATAATGATGTAAAATGAACTTGGTATCGAACAAAATGCGAAAAATTTCGAGTCCTCATTGAGTCATTCTACCTTCCAGGCATAGAGAAAGAGGCAAAATTCTGATGAACTACTTGAGTTGAACCCCTCCAATGAGCCGGAACTACCCGTCTGGGACGATAATGGTGTTGATGTCAAGGATGATGATAATGGCGGTGATGATGATGTGGATACCGATGAAGAACATGATTGTAACAAAGTAGGTTTGAAGATGAACAAAGCATGCCTCAAACCAGGATTAAATAGCCAATCATGAACATCCCAATATACTTCCACTTTTACTTTGTTCATATGGATTGATTCATTGCCCCTGAATTTCCATTGCAGATGTTTAACATTGATAACCAACTGACCATCTATCCTTATCTCCATCTCTGGATCTATCCCATTCGGTAAATCTCCTCCATTGCTGCTGAGATTCCCACTGATATTGCACTTGCTTTTGCACTCAATTGAAATCTCATGCAATCTTCCCTTCTCATGGAACTTAACTTTAGTACAAAACTTCTTCTTACCAAAAATGTGTTCCTTTCTTGATACCAAAATTGGATCAATTAGTGCTGGTCTGCAACCTGTCTTTCTGTAGGCATCTTTCTTCAAATCACCAGTGAGCAACACAACTTCTTCATCATAAACTACTGCAACATAGTACTCAGAGCTTGGTTCTGTCTCACCGTTGAACTTTGCAGCTTTTAGATCCCAAAAAATGTCAACTGGTTTACCTTCAACCACAAATCTCTTTGACCCTTGTTTCCTCCAAAAGTACCATGGCTTTAGCTCAACTTTACATGTGTACTGACTTTCTCCTTCCGGCCCTTCTACCGATACCGAAAGGCCATGAAGCAGCATATTCTTGCACCAAGTAATTGTAATCAACCTGCATTGATCTGCAATTTTAGTCCTGTAAACAGACATGAAAACACTCTGCCCTGACTTTGTAACTCCAGCTGAATCATCCATCATCTTCTCCCCTGATGTGAAACAAGCAGGGATAATAATCTGGTCCTGCATCCTGAATGATTACCAACTTTTTTACTGCTTTGGAGTAAGCCCTTTGGGGGAAAGATCACTAACAGAACTACATCAACTCCAAAATCCTGAAATTTTCTAGATATTGAAAAAAGGAAGTATTGGTAACAAGATGAGGGTAAAAATGAGTGATTTGGGACTTGGACTTAGAGATTTCAAGTTAGTTTTAATGTTTTTTGAATCACATATGGTGCCAGAGTTGTTCTTGGCAGCATTAATGGAGTTTCAAAAATATAAAATTGAGATTACAAACTGGCATACAGATGGCAGGTGGATGAGAGTGAGTGAAGAACTACAAACCCTTTTTTATATTGAATATCATTTGTTCCCTTACCTGGCTTTATGGGTTTTTCTTTCTTTTTTTTTTGTATAAATTATTTTTAAATGTTCATCGGTAAACAAACTAAAAACTGTAATTTAATATTGTTGTCAAGAAGACAAGTTTTTGTGAATCCAAAGTTGGATTGATTCTGTTTACAGTTAAACCACTGATTTCAATGCAAAAGGTAAACATGCAGTGAAGTGAAGTGGTGTTCATCAGATTTGGGGCAGAGATTTCTATGTACATTTTACTATACAAACCGCCCTCTTCTGAATGCATTTGACAGCACATGTGTGACTGATTTTTTATTTTGTTTTATTTTTTGACAGTCAAGGGCGACTGGAGTTGAAGGTGAATTATTAAATAGTAATGCCAGTCAAAATATATTCTTGGAGAGAAGTGGCTGAAGAAGAAAGTAGGATTAATACTAGTACCACAAGAGTCAATTTCAAAAATTTGGCACTTCAAACTTTGGGAAAGTAGTAGGTTATTGTAGCAAAGTGCAGAAACAGCAAAGAAATATATTTTTGATGAAACACATGGACGACGGAACTTGGGAGGGGGCCATCAACCCCGGCCGGCCGGATTTGGAGCACTAGCGAATTGATCATTGAAATTTGGCCTTTTTTTTTTTTAATAGAGTGTTCGTTAGTTGATATTTTTTCAGTTCGATCCCTCAATTACAGTTTAATAATCTTATTTTCGATGTATTGAAAGTTCTGGTTTGTTTAATTATGAAACTAGTGAATTTGATAATTGAAGACGGCACATTACAAGTGAAATGTGTTTGGAAAGAGAAGTGGATAATAGGTTAATTATTCGGTTTCTCATTTGCGTTAGTGATTGGAGCACTATGTAATACTTATTCAAATAACCGTTAGCCAAGTGTTCTCCTTCATATTTCCTTGGGAAACCAAATTGTTCCAAACGAATTTCATGAAATAAAGATGGGAAAAAAACTGAATAATGAGTAAGAGGAGAATGTAACTTTACTAGTTTCTGGGACTAGAGAATTTTTTTTTTTGGGGGGTTTACAAATCTGTTCATCGAACGGGGATTATATTGGCACATGGATCCGAACCCGATCAGTGGGCACCCCTTGTTTCATTGACCAAATGCCATGATTTGTAACCAAATCATTGGAACCAATTTTTTTTTTTAATATAGAAAAAAGAATAGTTATTATTCCATTAAATTCATTGATTTGTTTTCGAAATGGTCAACAAATTTGACGTATTTTAAAAATACATGTTTATTCGTTGGAAGTTTTATTTGTTACATATTTTTGTTTTTTCGATTCGTGATGTGCATGACATTACCTGAACCATTTCATTTGAATAAATTATTACTGTAATAGTTTCTTGTCACAATTTTACAAGAAGTATAGTTGATGTGCTTAAAATATGGAGAAATTTAATAAATGTATCACTCATTCTATACCAGAAAATAGCTACATATTTTAAGTCTTGCAATAGATTTTTTTTTTTTTTTTTTTTGGGACAAAAGTCTCAGAATTTCCCATGACTAATTTAATTTTCACAGGTGTGCCTAACTACTTGAGACTGTAAAAATTAATAGGCAGAAGAAGTCCAATTCGATAATATATATCTATATTTTCATTTGGCTGTTTAACTTCGATCCAGCACAAAACTGCAAGGAAAATAACTAAATCAATCAGTCAAACTATGCTTTATAAGGTAAATAAATAGGCGAGCTAGGGTTATGAGAATATTCTCAAACAAACATGTGAAATAACACATTTTCCAGTCTAATCAGACTACTACTGAAGTTTATAACTTCTCAAAAAGTATAGTTGATGTGCTTAAAATATGGAGAAATTTAATAAATATATCACTCATTCTATACCAGAAAATAGCTACATATTTTAGGTCTTGCAATTGATTTTTTTTTTTTTTTTGGGACAAAAGTCTCAGAATTTCCCATGGCTAATTTAATTTTCACAGGTGTGCCTGACTACTTGAGACTGTAAAAATTAATAGGCAGAAGAAGTCCAATTCGATAATATATATCTATATTTCCATTTGGCTGTTTAACTTCGATCCAGCACAAAACTGCAAGGAAAATAACTAAATCAATCAGCCAAACTGTGCTTTATAAGGTAAATAAATAGGCGAGCTAGGGTTACAGTCTAAATACTGGCAGTGCAGACAATTTTCCGCATTTATGAATAAAATTTATCTTTCACTCTGTGAAATACTAATACTAACAATCTATATTGTTTTATACATTTATTTTTGTAGTGAACATCTTATATTATGATAAATTTATTATTAAATTCAGATTAGGAAGAAATTATTGCTCCTTTATTAGTTATTCCAAGTTTTCCCCCCTTGTTCATAAGCTTAGATATTTTCTCTTTTTTATAGAGCTTGAGCTACGTACTGATAGTAATGGCCAAATTGAAATAAAGTTACCACATTAGTACGCTAATTAGATATGATTATGGGCTCTTATAACACAAAATATGTCACAGCGATATAATATAGATAAAAAAAAAAACTCATTTTAGACCGTTTTCAACTATTTCATTTAGTTAGGATGTCGCATTAAAATAGCTTTGTGACTAGACTTTCTTTTTCTTTGAATTTTTGCCTTTCAAGTTCTTTTTCCCCCTTTCTGAAATGGGGCCAGGAAGTTATTGAAATTGGACGAGAGCATATGTTGGCAATTCTTAATAATGCACTTCGATTTTTGGACAAAACCAAAGGGAAAAATAATATATATATTAAAATAATTAATTTTTTCGTTGTACAAAAACCAATTCTCTTTTATTTAATAGAATGTGATTTTTTTTTATTTTTGATTTTTTTTTTGCAACGGAAGAATTAATAAAGTATCCAAAATGCATATACAGAACAAAAATAAAAAGTTGGAAGATACATGGACTGCCTTGTAATGGTCCCTCTTTTGCAAGACCATAAGTTGGGCAATAGGTGGACAAAGTTCATGTGTTACTTATATATATATATATATATATATATATATATATATATATATATATATATATATATATATATATATATACTAGTGATCTCTGTCGCTTAACGCATGACCTGCCCAATATATTTATAGATCTTAGAAATGTTTGTATCTAGAAAAAAAATATTTTGTATTTGGCCCGATATATTTTAGAAATATTTGAAGAATTTTAGAAATGTTTTATAAGTGTAATGTTTGTGTTTGGCATAAAAATAAATTGTATTTGGCCCGGTACGTTTTAGAAATGTTTGATGATTTTAGAAATATTTTATAAGTGTTACTTCTTAAATATAAATAAACTTGATCAAATATATGTCTTGAAGTAAATGCTAGAAAAAATATAGAAGTATCCTAATAAGTTTAAATATTAGTAAGATAATTTATTGATGTTCTCCATTGGTTGTGCCAAATCAATACTTAGTTTTGGAGATTTATAATAACTTTGTAGTTAGCTTCCTTCAAAGGATATACGCTTAATTGTTGGAACTATTTCTTCCAAAAGTTTATAGGTAGTAAAATATCAAAAATATGATTTTGATACTGGTTAATTGTTGAAACTGGTTGATCACAAATATGAGAATGAAAATAATGTAAATTTGCATAGGTTTCAAGATATAGCAAAAAAGAAATCACCTCACCATGGCAAATTAAAAAAAAAAAAAGATAGCCTATTAAAATTTGAGAATTTTTTTTTCTGTAGGTAAAAATGATGTATAAAAACACAAATAAACGTAGAAATATCATTCCTTCCCTCTCCACCTCAAATTCATAAAAGGTTTCCCTATAAATTAGTTAAAAGAAGCGACCTGAACTATTTATATGATGAGGAACTAAAAAAAGTCCAAAAACTAAATCCAAAAAAGTATATTCTTGAAACTCCGAACACAAAAAAAAACATGATTCATTTGCAAATATAATAATAATAATAATAATAATAATAATAATAATAATAATAATAATAATAATAATTGGTTAACTGGGAGTATGAAACAAAATAAAAAAAAATTAAACAAAGAAAAAACACACTTCATAACTGGCCATATACGAAAAAAACCTGAGACTTCATTATTAAAAAAAGAAAACCACTCTAATTGAATGAAACATAAAAAACAAATTTAAAAAACCACACTTTGTAATAAAAACCCAATCAATCAATTCAATCCAAACATAACTAAAATCATACAAAAATTCTAGACTAACTAACCAAATAAGAAATCACATCATACTACCTGACAACGGCTCCGGTAGCTGTAACGGATGGACGCATAAAAATAATCGTAATAACACTATTCTTGAACGGGAAAAATAAAAAATAATAAAAGCCAAACCAATTATCTGTGGAAATAAAATCATTTAAATTTGAATACCTGTAATGGCACCACCACAACGGCCGAAGCAAGATCAATGAGAATTTTTTTTTCCTTTGTGTTTATATAGAGAGGTAAAGAGAATATTTTTTGAAGTTAAAATTTTATCCGATTAGGATGTAGTTGATCATCACTAATGAAAAGATTGAACATACTAGTAGAAAAGGAGTATATTTCACCACATATTCTCAATTGATGATTGATGAGTAATTTATTTATTTTTTAATTGTGGAGAAGGGATTGATTAAGGAGTCGATTGTCGTGGCGATGGGGATGATGATTTGGGTTTTTTATGAAACCGTGATTTTTTTTTTTTGACGAAAATAGGAGGTGAAAATAAATTTGGACTGCATTTTCCTTTTAAGTTTAGGAGATGTGGAAATAAAAATTTATTTTAAAAATATGATGTGAAAATGCCACATGACAAATGGTGGTACTTTCTCTTAAGTGGTGGTTTTTGTTTCTAATATAGTAAGATATATATATATATATATATTTATGTATATGTATATATAATCTTTTCAAAGAAAAAAAAAAAGCTTCAAACAACCATTTACCCTTCCTTATTTTAAACCACTGTTCGCCTATGGCAGCCCTTATAGTAAAAAAATGGCACCAGTTTGGTCGTTGATCACTCGAATGGTACAATCCCTTTTATATCCGGTAGCTGTTTTGGGAGATTTTAACCAGGTCACATCACCACAAGACAAATGGGGAGGCCGTCCTACAAGTAATAACCCATCACCAGAATTAAATAAAATGTTGCAACTTTTAAATCTTACAAAATTGAAAATTTTGGATCCTGGTTCACTTGGTCAAACAAACGTTCCGGCAGAGCACGAATATATGAAAGATTAGACCCAGGATTTGCAAATCAAGCTTGGTTGAATCATTATCCAAATGCTCGCATTCAGAATTTTTCGATAATGATCTCCGATCACGGACCTATGTTACTTGACACGGTCAAAGCTAACAATGATCGTTCCAAACCTCTTCAAAGGTTTGAGTCATTTTGGGCAAAAACAGAAGCAAGCAAACAGATAATCAAAAAGGTCTGGCAACTTTCCTGCAATGCTGAACTATCTGCCACAGAACGCCTATCAAGCAGTCTTCGCAACAGTTTGACTCATTTGACAAATTGGAATCAATCTACACACGACTATTTACCAAAAAAAAAATATACAACAAATAATACAAGAATTGTCAATCCTCTCCTCCTCACAGTCAATGATGCAAAACCAAAAGCTCCTTGATGCAAAAGAGCGGGAACTGGAGTATTATTTGATCTTGAAAATCTACATTGACAACAAAGGTCTACAAAGTTATGGCAGATTCAAGGAGAACGTAACACCAAATTTTATCATTGATGGGCCACCATAAGGAAAGGTAGCAACAACATTCAAGGACTCAAAAACGACCAGGGAGAATAGATTTTTGACTCACAAGAAATTCAGCATATCATCCAGCATCACTATCAAGCTCTATATTGCAATGTAGACACACATGTTTGTGATCGGACATAAATGTTCTCGTTTAATGGACTGCTTGATAGAGTTTCAGTAGCATTAACAGATGACCAAATAGCAATGCTCCAAACTCCCTTCACAGCCGAAGATATCCAGCAAGCGGTCTGGAAAATGGCCCCCTGGAAATCGCCGGGCCCAGATGGCATTCCCGGCAGGTTCTATCAAAATTATTGGCATATTATTGGAGATTCGGTGATTGAAGTAGCGCTCGAATTCTTTCAAACTGGATTAATGCCAGAAGGGTGGAACGACACCACTATAATACTAATACCTAAAAAACTTTCACCGGAATCGGCAAATGATTATAGGCTAATTAGTCTAAGCAACGTAAAGTATAAGATTATCACAAAAACCTTAGCTAATCATCTGAAAAAGGTTCTACATAAGAAACACAGAACGGGTTTCTTCCAGGGAGAAACATCACAGAAAACATCATCATCACACATGAACTGCAACACCATATTAAACATCACAAAGGAAAGAAAAAGGGAATAGCGGCAATTAAAATCGACATGAACAAAGCCTTTGACCGACTCTCATGGCACTTTCTGAAGGAAATAATGCAGAAAATGAAATTTCCTTCAACATGGATCAATTGGATGCTGCAAGTGCAATGCTTAACGAGGGTACGTTATTCAGTCTTAATCAATGGATGGTACTCCTCATTCTTCACGCCAATTAAAGGAGTTTGACAAGGCTGTCCCCTATCTCCGTATTTGTTTCTAATTACTCAGCAAGCATTCTCTTCAGTCCTCAATCACTCCAAAAGCAATGCACCAGTTGGAATTCAAATCGCACAGCAAGCACCGAGAATTTCACACTTGATGTATGCGGATGGCACTAATATTTTCACTGAATGTTCACATCAACAAATCAACGAGTTAGGAGACAAAATTTCCAGCTTTGTCAAATGGTCGGGACAACGCATCAACTTTCACAAATCAAGTATTTTTCTCAATTCCAAAATGAATCACACTGATGCTCTATGGGTCAAGATCATACTAAATATACAAAGACATTTATTGGAAGATACCTATCTAGGCGCACCTCTGGATTTGGGGCAGTCTAAAGCAATGATGCTTTTCAATAATTTCCAAATTAAAAAAAAAAAAATCACCACCTAGAAAACGGCTTCTCTATGTACCCAAGGAAGAATAACTTCAGCTAAATCGGCATTATCCTCTTCAACATTATATATCATGGGGGCATTCAAACTGCCGATTTCGACAACAACAAAGATTGATCAAATTTTACGAAACTTCATATGGTCTCAATCAGAATAAGAAAAAGGGCATTCATTGGATTGCCTGAGACAAGGTTTGTTCTTCAAAGCTAAAAGGTGGTCTAGGAGTGCGGAAATCTAAAGAAATTAATCGAGCACTAATCGCAAAACTCGTATGGAAGATCATCAAGCAACCTGAGTCATTAATGGCCAGACTGCTTCTAGCAAAGTACTGTAACGAAACCAATTTTTTGGAAGTAAGTCAAAGGAAAAATGCTTCCTGGGGGTGGCAAAGCATTCTCTGGGGTAAAGAACTGATACAACCTCACATTAAATGGAAAATTGGATCAGGCAACGATGTTCAAATACATGAGGATTGGATCCCAGGATCATCAAATCCTCTACACTTTCTGCCTTCTCTAAATCCTATGCATCTAAAAGTTTGTCATTTTATTGATAGCAACAAACAATAGAAAACATCGCTTCTACGCCTTTTCTTTCCAGAAGAAGATGTCAAAAGGATTCGTACAATTCATTTGCTATCTATAAATCTATATTCAAGAGATGAACTCATCTGGGTACATGAAAACATGGACAGTATACCGTTAAAACAGGCTACCATCAAGCTGCCAATCAAGCTGTCTCTGTGATGCTTCAACTTCAAATCGTCCTCTAATATCAAATGTGCAAGCAAATGTATGGAAAAAAACTCTGGGCAACACGGGCACCGGCCAAAATACAGCAATTCATTTGGAAACTTTTAAATGGGAGATGTGCTTCATCTGATCAGCTACAACAAAAGGGCATTCTCACTCCACCTGTTTGCTTAGAATGTCAATTAACAGAGGAAAATAGCACACATATTTTTACAGAGTGTGACAAAACAAGAAAAATTTGGTTTTTGTCAAGATTTGGATTCAACTTCCAGACTAAAAATCAGGAATCTATCCAGCAATGGCTTTCCGATTGGATCGCTAGCGCATCGGATCGGGAATCACTGGAAGAATCATTGGTAATTCTATGGCATATTTGGAAAATTAGAAATAAACTTTACTTGGAAAACCAGAAAGAGACCCCAGAAATGGTCCTCAACAATGCTAAAACAGAATATCAGAGTTTAAAATAAAATTGGAATCAAGACCGGTCCCGAAATAATCAGTTAAAAGAATATAGTTCACATCCTTCAGTCCAATCTGACAGACCGACAATTTTGTTTGATGGAGCTTTCAAACATGACACTTTTGAGGCCGCAGGAGCATGGACGATTACGGCACAAGATACTTCCTCTAGGATCAATCAAACTATGAAATTCATAGCACTATCTGCACTTCAAGCAGAAGCCTACACATGTATACTGGTAATCAGGTCTACGTTACATAATGAAATCACAACAGCCACGATAGGAATGGACTCACTAAGTCTCATTAAGGCCATTACACAGTCAGAAAAGACTGCAGTAGAAATCAAGGATATAATAGCGGAGATACTCTACCACCAAACTGTAAATCGGTTCTTTATAGTTAGTAAAGTAAGTAGAGATATTTTAGAGTCAGATCATATTATGGCAAAACAATGTAACCAAAACTCCTTTTTCTCTGCACTTTAATAAAATAAATCTCCTTTACTCAAAAAAAAAAGAAAAAAAAAGAACAACAGTTCGCCAAGAAGCCAAAGGAAAAAAGGAAATAGACACACGAAACTTTGGAAAAAACAGCATTGCCTTTCAAAAAAAAAAAAAAAAAAAAGAAAAAAATAAAAAATTTAACCTAGAAAAAAAAAATTAAAAGCATGTAAATGGTATTGTTCTTTATCTATATACTATACCAAGGTAAAAATCAGAGAGAGAAAACTAAAGGCATGGAGCACATGGCACATAGAATTTAATCCTATGTAACATTTTCTTAATTTCTTAGACTTAAAAATGCTCAAAACAAAATAATAAATAAAAAAAGCAACTAAAATAATTTTAAAAAATAAAATAATAAAAACCGAACCCTTATTTTCATGAACCAAATCCTAACACAGAGATTGATTGGAGAGAGTACCAAATCCTAACAAATTTTAGAGAGATCTGCATAAACCTTATCACCAGTAAATTTAAAATGTCATTTAAAAAAAACAAATTCCTGTAAATCCAGAGGTAATCATGTTTAAAACTGAAGTCATTACATATTTTATAAAAATACAAAATTTATGTAAAAATGTCTAAACGTGTATGCCTTCCCGGTCCATCGGAGGGGTCTAACACCTAGTTTCCAATAATTAGATTTTCCATTTCTCTTTAATTATTTCCACCTGTGAAACTGTATGTGTATTTTATCTACACTTAAAGCATTTATCATTGAAAAAGATTTAGTACTTATAATTAAAAAAAAAAAAACAAATCATGTTCGTGAGAAAAAACAGTTACCGACGAATGAGCCCCTATTTTGACCTCTACAATGAATGAGATTTATATATTTTTTATTATTATTTTTAAATCCTATGCGATTTCTTCTGATTGCTTTTAATACTAGGAGTCTTCCAATTTATCACCAAATAAGAAGTCGATCCTCTAAAAAAAAAAAAATCTTTGGAGACCTCTTCTGATACCCCAAAACTAGGATTGAGAGTAGGAAGTCGAGTCGCAAGCCCTTCTTCTACTACTCCAAAAAACAAAAATAAAGGAGAAAAAAAAAATACAAAGCGGGATAGACCGATAGAGGTTGATTCATTCTCAATTGAGAATTTTGGTATTCGTAAGAAAGAAATAATGATGCTTTTTGAGATTTTAAAGATTGGTTAAAGAGAATGGCACAAATCATAAGTAGAGTACCAAAGAGATCTATTTGGTCCCCGTTTTCATTGCGGCATTGATTAGTCCTAGAACCAATAGCTACTATTCTTTAATTAATATTTTACCCACAAAATAAACAATTCATAGACCCAAATGAAATCAGATTCGGAGCTTTGGATTCCCTCATTTTATTTTATATGTTTTCCGAATTTCTACAAAAATTTCAGGGGAGCTTGACTCTGACAATCGAAAAACTAAAACCATAATTAGTGCAAGTTCTTAAAAAAAATGAAGAAGGAACTAGTCAATGATTGACTTGTTTTAACAATTTGCATTCTTTTAAGATAATTCAAATGATTGAGAAGAGATTTCTTTTTTAAATATAAAAAAAAAAACCAATATATGTAAACATAACTGTCACAACTCTTTTTTTTTTTTTAAAAAAAATATCTGTCACAACTCTTATTCGTTAGATAATACATACATGCCATGAATTTTGAGTTGAAGAAAAGTTGCAGGAGACTAAGATTACGAGGCAAAAGGTAGAAATATTTAACATGTTATAGTGATAATAATGCTGATAAAAATCAATTGTTGGATATACACAATATCATTTGGCATTCATAGTATAAGCGAAAATGATTCGCCCATATATTATATTTTATATAAAGTCCGATTAAGTAGGTATGAAGTAAAATTTAAGAAATATTTTTCTTCGAAATCTCTCTCATGGTTATCATTCAGTCAAATTAAATCATACTGCCTAGGCAGTTTTCGTTTCTTCAAATCCAAACAAAATTACATTTATTTCACTTAAAACTGTTACAAAATCAAAACTAAGCTCTGCAAAAACAATATAGCAACAAGCTCTTACTGTTAGAACATTACAAAAATGCCAAACTAATCCAGTAATCAGTGCTGCTTCCCATACCTAAACTGAAACAGCAAGCTATTTTCTTTTTTTCTTCAACGCAGTCATAGCATTCATTTTATCCCTTAGATAGTAGAGCTTGGCCCTCCTAACTTTCTTCTTGTCCAGGATCTTTATCTCCTTAATGTTTGGCGAGTACCTGATCCAAAACATTTGATTCAAACATCAACACAAGCACCACAGCAACAAATAAGTAGCGATTACAACGAAAATGGATTGATGCATGCTCAACCATCTCAAAGTGAACCCAAAGTGAATAGCATGCAATGCACATGAGCCAAATAATGATTATGTAACCTTACAACTGCATAAGGAGCTAAGTCAATTAAGAGTTTCAACTCCAGACAAAAAGGCAATACATACACGAAGGACTCATGAAGTAGAAAGTTCACTGCCAAGAATTATTAACCACTTCATGTAGCAGGATGAAATTTATCGATGCTATATAATTTCTCTATTCAACCAGCAATGGGAAAATGTCTTCAGGCAAACCAGGGGAAAACCGGAAATCACAGGCAGTTGTGCATCTCCACATGCTAGCACACTATTGGGGCATCAAGATCCAATGTCAATTAAATTCCCAAAGAAACTTACAGAGGAAAGAGTGATTCAAATCCAACTCCAGCTTCTGATCTTCTCAATCTGAAAGTGGTATTAAGACCAGCATTACGCCTCGCTATTACTACACCTTTAACTGTCGAAACACGTCTTTTGTTCTCAGGTACTTCCTATACAACATAATCAAAATAAGTCCAGGTAAAAAGCTATCCAGCAATAAATAATTAAGCCGGGATTAAGAAAACAAATTGCAAAATGTTCTTGAAAACTATTTCAACTCTAAGAAATCTTTTCAACCATACCACTTTAAGTTGCACAAAATAACCAGGTCTGATATCGGGAATCTCTCTCTTAGACTTCACTTCCTCAACAGCTTCTTTATCGAGAATCTGCCCAGATCATTGTGAAAATCATGTTAATACCACAAATTTATGCTGCGGAGTTCTTACTCAAGGTTACATAAAAACGTTACACATATATAATCTCAATCATCAAAATATTGTCAGTTCAAAAAAAGAATCAAGCAATATAGTTATACCTGCATTATGTGCCTTCCAGTTTTATCAAGCCTCTTCATTTTTATGCGTTGAGGTGCATCAGACATAGCCACAGAGGTGTTCGGGTGAACAGTAACACCAGCATTTCCCATGGCTGAGAAGCACCTCTGAGGTGATCTAACATTTGCTAGTTGAGCTACAGACAACGTCGGCCCAGAGAAGGGCTTGGCTGCTTGAGAAGAGCCAATATTTCGGAATGGCATCAAGAAGCCACTTTTGGTGTCAAATTTGGTCTGAAACAAATATGCAGTTACAAGAATATAAGAAAGTATTCGAGAACATAAAAATTAATGAAGCATTTCTTAAACGTTAAATGGAAACTTAGTATCTCACATATGGAAATCGAGGCAGTATGATGAAGGGTATTCTTCGTTTACTACTTAATCTCCAAAAGTAACTTTCTCTATAATTTCACAAACAAAATGCACTCGGTGATCATAGAGTGACATGCAACATGCACACATGCTACTACAATCTTAGAGCAGAAATATTTATACAGAGAACTATAACTCATTCTCAGGATAATACACAAAAAATGATAAGCACAAACACAATCATAGACCTATTACATATAAATAAAGCTTGGAAAAGAAAATTGCAAAACTAAAGGAACAAAGATTTGAAAAATCATCAGAACTAAATAACCTCACTTCTTTCAAATGAAATGATTAACCATGGATCACAAACACATGCTACTACAATCTTAGAGCAGAAATCTTTATACAGAGAACTATAAGTCATTCTCAGGATAATACACAAAAAATGATCGGCACAAACACAATCCTAGACCTATTACATATAACTAAAGCTTGGAAAAGAAAATTGCAAAATATTAAAGGAACAAAGATTTGAAATCATCAGAACTAAATAACCTCACTTCTTTGTAGTGAAATGATCAACCACAGATCACAAGTCACAACGACAATATGTTGCCATTACGCTCTATGAGTTCACACATTTTAATTTTATATTTAGATCATGCTACCAGACCACCCCCCCCCCCCCCCCCGCTGTGAACACTGAGCCCAAAAAAGTTTTAAAAATTACATTAAATTAAGAAAGATCCTTTTAATCCCCTCGTTTCTATGTAGTTTAGAAGTTCTCTAAATAACTTCAAGTGAAAGGTACATTTTATCTTCATCTATTACCATCATCCTATTATTCAAACATATGAATGAATAGTAGTAGCAAACTAACAGGTGAGTGGAACTTAAAAAGACGTACTATTTAAAGCAACCACTCCAATTTGCACAAGACAAATCTAGCAGGGAGGTACATATCAAATAAGGAAATAACCAATGAGCCTCAGCTGTTATTGGTGGAAATCACTCAATCAAGAAACCTCACTCTAATGCTTTTTATTATGCATGACGTATTTGGGCTCTACATTGTGGTGCCAAGAATATGATCATAGAAGAAAAGTTTGCAAGGTAAAAGATGGTTTTAGTTTACAAGACTTGATACACCTAAGACAAATAATATTATATACAAAAATCTCCTGGCAATGGATAAACATAACTTCACCTAGTTCAATGACTTTTCTAGAACCAGTGAGACAATTAGGAACACTGGACTTGCCTTCATAATTGAATCAGAAGAACATCTCAAACTATCCCTCAATGCTTTAAAATCAACCAGCTTCCAGTAGTTGATTGTTTGACTCCCTGCCCTTTGGGCATTTCTACAGATAGATTGCATGCCTCCAAGCAAACCTGCATAACTTTCGTATTATAAAAAAGCACAACGCAGCCACTCAATTTAGGAAAACAAAATTTTGTAATATGAATTAATACAACAGAAAAGAAAAATAAAAGTAAACAGATTAACAGAATCGACTAAGGCGTATTCATGATTTGCAAGAAAGACACTGCTGGCTTGTGTTAAAGGGCAAATATTTGACAAATAAAAACTTCATTTATGAGGCGCCTGGTTCACCATTTGGAATGGGGGAGGGAATGGAATGCTTTGGAATGTAATGGGAATAAAATTTACGTTTTCTTTTTACCCTTATTATCGAAGGCTCAAATTCCAATTCCCTTCTTGGACCGAAATCAGCAAGCCATTGAAAGCGGTAAATCTAGTTCACCCGAATGGCGACGGCAGCACTGAAAATCCGGCGAAGAAAGGTGAACTTTTGCTTCGGCAAAAACTGTGAGAGAAAATTATACAGTTTCGAAGAGATGAATTGTAGAAAAGGTTTTCTTTGGAACTGAAATCGTAGGCTGATTTGGGTAGCTCCGGCGGCGGCTTAGTTTTCCCGGCGAGGAAGAAGAAAGAACGAGATGAGGTGGAAGAAATGAGAAGCGGGACGAAGGAGAAAGAAACGAGGGCATAAGAAGAACTCCGGCTCTTGTTTTTGGGAAAAGGAAAAATACACCCGGACTTATGTCAAACATCCTGACGCTGATGTGAAAATTAACTTAAAAATAAAAATGTCCAATATGTAAAACGCCAGAAAGTATTGTGATCTTTTGACCAGTATAGTAATAATACTATTTAATTAACATTTTTTATCTACATATTTTGAAGAAAATAGATCTAAATTTGTTAATGACAAAAGTTTATTTGACATATAGTGCAACTCATATTACCTCTCTGGAAATTGTAGATTTTATTAATCGCCCTGAAAGTGATGCTAGTTAATGATAAACACAAAATCAATTAAATGATTCAGTAGAGCACATGCCATTAAATTATTTTGTAAAGATAGATGAAAACTTTTGTAGAGTATAATTACTCCGGAGAGTGAAAACAAATAAATACTTTTGAAGAGCAAATACAGTAAATTCATCACTACCTCTGGAAGAATAACTGTAAATGAACTTTACTCATAAAAGAACAAGAGAATGTTGGAAGGAGAAAGTTCATTGAGATACACTATATTCACAAGGTATCCAAAAAAAAGAAGAAGAAGGATATAAATTGTTGTACTAACTCAATTATTTTCAATTTGAAGTGTTGTCTCCAGGAGATCAGCCATACGTTTTTAAAACAGTAAGAACACTATGGTAGGATGAAAATGCTCATGTAGAGTACGATTATGTCAATAAGATTATATGTGTGTTCTAGAAGAGCAAGAACACTATAGTAAAATGAAAATAACTGAATAACAAATACTCATGTAGAGTAGACAAGCTCGGTCAGAGTAAACACTCATGTGGAGCAAAATATATTTAAATAATTAAATCACTATTATCTCCAGAAGAAAAATTCTAAAATTTGGCATAACTACTTTAGTTATTCTGGTTTCAAGACGAAACAAGAAAGTTTATATGCTTTAAATTTGGAGAACCAATAGTTTCTTCCAACAAATTAGAATATCAATCGATATATCGATGAGATAGCCACATGTATTATTCTCTTTAACTTGCAACCTGAAGTTTGCAGAACCTTAATTATGGAGTTAATCTGGTAACTTGTAGATTTTCATGATCTACTCTTACAAGAATTTTAATTTGACAGTTGTGGTGAGTATATGACCCAATACCAGAACAATAGAAGTTGAACATTGAGTGTCTAAAGAGCAACAATGAAGCGTTCCAGCAGAATCGTTCGTTACATATGTTGAATAAAATAATTACCTCGTGTATAATTGAGAAAGTGTTGAAAAACAAAATGCACCAATTATATGCATAAGACCAAACAAGTCATTATAAATATTCTCCCAAAATTTGATTTTTGGTCAGAAACCATACATATCCATCTTCGAATATTATAGGTGCATATTATATTATAATTGCTCCACAACAATGCACACAAAGATGGAGCCTCCAGAAGAGGTTAGAAATATATGTTGAATATTGAATCTCTAATTTTTGAAAATTAGTTATGTTGGATTAACTACTCGATGAACTGATCATATTAGTTTGACGAGTTAGTGACCCTCAAAAGGGAGATTATTTATTGCTCGGTTGGTTAATCGTCATTTTAGCGAGTTAGTTATCCCAACATCAGGAGGGAGAAGTAATAACAACCTATTATGTTGTACATTAGATGGACAACATTATTATCTCATGATGATCCTTGATAATGTGAACATGAAGTTCAAGAGATCATTTTTAAAATCAGATGTTTAACTGACCAAAACATGTGACTGAGTTACATGCAAAAGGCTGTCAAGTTCCAAATCTTAAATAATGTTCCTGTAGGACCATCTACCACAATTATTGAATGTCCATTTGATGAGTGGTAGAACAATTGATTCCAATGATAAAAATTCTCGTAAATGACAAGGTTTAAATCTATAGAGATGGAAATACGAGTGATTATAATTCATAAGAATTTTGAACTAGAATAGTTTCCCACTACGGTGAAATAACTTCTAGAAGAAGTATATGAATACTTGGGAAACTTAATGATTGTGAAATCTCATTACCAAAGAACATAGAATTGATCGGCAATAAAATATCGATATGAAGTTTGCATATACTGCAACAGTTAGTGAAACGAATGAGGATCATGAAAGTCTGTTGCGAGTACAAACATTAAACTTATTGGCCATAATGAATTAAAAAGACGCAATACACACCTGAAGATGTGTACTTATAATCGAAATTGTTTGAAAAACTAAAAGTTTGGCAAATAATATACCGCTAGATTTTAGTTGGTGATTGTGCAAAAAAATTATCGAGCAACCTACTTATTACACATATTATTCATAGATTACAAAGTGATCTTAGCATGAAATCATTCTGTGTTTATTTCGCTGCATTAGGATTAGTTTACTTACAATGGTATCAGAGTCACTCTTTGCGTGTATGTTTCATATGTGATGTTTAATTTTCATGGATGGTGTTGTACGTATTGCATATGTATAATTTTGTGTTTGAGAAGTCTAATTGGGTTTGACGAGTTCAAATGGAGTAAGGATGATCTCCTTGGTTCGTGCGTGGTCAGAAGAGTTCTAGTCAGTTTGAATCTCAGGCCGAGTCAGATTGTTTAGGTTGTTTCGGCAAGACCAGATCAGGCAAAAACTATGTCGCTGGAAGGTTTCTGTTGAAGCCGTTGACCGAGAGTTGAAGTTGATTATTCAGTCTTAACCAAGGGTTGTCTGGCGGGAAGGGATTTGGCCGGCTCCTACTCTGATTTTGAGGAAGAAAATTGACGGTTGTCTGGTGGGTGCCGAGTTCACTAAAAATAAATATTAGCTGGATTATGGATTTGTAGATAATAGAAGCTAGGTCGTTCCCACAGGGACAGCTAATCACCTAAATTGTTGTTGACAAACTACCAGTTCAGACAAGTGTCACTCAGGGGAATGAAAATGTTCACTCAGGGGAGTACAGACCAGGGGTGTTCATCTCCTCTTCCTGTTGCAGCAGTTGTAACTTGCACTTTAATGGTCAAGTTCTTGTTCATTTAGCTCAGATTTAACTCTAAGTCAGTTCCCATTTTTCCTAGAGTCATCTTTGTAATTTTAACAATCTATTTCCAACAATTGAATCCAGTCATAAAGTCATTAAGAGCCACGGCTTATATGAATACTCATGTCAACCAAGTATATCCCTATCTTAGTCAAAACCATAGATTGTTACCTCTATGTCACAAGTTGAAGTTGAAAAGTCTAAACCAAGTTTATCTTTCCAGATTTCCCCTATTTTTAGCATGCATTCAATTAGAGATCAAGTAATTGAATGTAGAAACACTTCCAACTTCAAAACATAGAACAGAACCAGTGCTTTACAACGACTACAACATAGGTTGAAGAGATTAACCACTGGAAGCTATTTAGCTACTCATGCTGGTTGATGCTACTACCACTATAACAGACATCATAGAAGTATGCATCAATGAAATGAAGTACAAGCTAATAGTTAAGAGAAGAAGACAGCTTATGCAGTTCAGGGCCACTCCTGGGAGTGACAGGGTTCATTCATAGGAATGAAGCAGCGACTGAGATGGCTGTTCTTCAACCTTGCTTCCTGCTGAGTTGTTGTTGTTCTTCCTTCCTTCTTGCCTTCTATCTAGAGTTTCTTCTGTATGTTCTTGGCAACTGAAAGGTGCAGCCAGAGATGTCCAATGCTGTGAATGCATCTCCCCTTTTATATTGCTTGATGCCGGTTCCTCTTTCAAGAGAACCTCCCCATGTCTATGTATTCTTTATTCACCCAATGCCTTGTATCTTGAACTTGGAATTGACTGGTCTTTTGCTCTCCTTCCAGAAGTGGTATCAGCCTTGGCATTGATCAGCTTGGGAGGTTGGTTTTTCGGCCAAGGAGACAAGCATGTTCTTGAGTTCTCAAGGTGAGACACCCTCATTAATTGTGTCTTGAAGATGTCTTTGACCAGCTCAGCAGAATTTGAATTCATCAGCCCATTTTTGTCCCAGCAGCCCTCCTTTTTCAGCATTTCTTCACTCAGGTCCCTTCCTATGCAAAAACATAAAATTGGTTAAGTAACATGGACTTATTCTAAGAATCGCCCTCTAATTTTTTAGTAAATTCAGAGTAAATGGTAATGCTTTTGTGTAACAAATTAAGCACTATCAACTCCGCCAAACTGGAAGAATTGCTTGTCCTCAAGCAACACCACTGGACTCTTTCTGACACTTTCAGGATTATATATGAGAAATAGAGGAAATAACACTGCCATACAGACTTAACACTGACTTGCTTCCCTGAGTGAAGATGCTCACTCAGGCAAGTGACACTGGATATGGAACACAACACAACACCAATCTGCCGGGGGCTGTCAACTTTTTGTCTCAGATTCGAGTAAAGAAAACACACAATAGAGATACCAAAGTCTTCTGCAATCACAATCAAACAACTAACCTTCACATGAAATCAGACTATATGCCACAAGTGTTAGTTCATGCTAACCTACCAATCCATTCTAGTTAACCAGTTTCAGCTTGTGGTGGTCATTCTTGTGATCTGGTTTTGCCCAAGTTACTTCGACTCGATTTACCTACTGAGGCTTCAATCATGGACTTCCTTCACAGCTTTTCTGTCTCTCTCCTTTTCTTTTTTTTTTGTAGATGGACCAACCTATGCCTTTGGGAGGGGTGTTATTCAACCTTATATCTCCACTACCTTATACCTCAACCCTTATTACTCCAACAGCTTGGAACTTTTGTGGTGGGTCCTTGCTGTTACCCCTAAGGTTTCAGTTGATCCAATCTTTTATTTCTTTATTTTTTTTTTAACTGAGGACAGGCTGTGAATGGATACCACAAGGGAAGTCTCAGGTTTACAGCATCTCTCATCTACTTGTAGCTTAACGCTAGACACAGATCACAACAATGGATTAGTCATGCCAAATTTTAGAATTTATGTTCTAGGCAGTCACTTCCACGAGTGGCATTGTTCATGTGTGTGAGTGAGTGTCAGCCATTCTTTCATTTCATGCATCAGACTTAGTATCAAAAGTGTTTTAGCAAAATTTTTCAAAAC